TTAAACAATCACATTAATCATATAATTAAAAATTAGATTTTTCTTACATGTTATATTTTGATTTGTTGTAAAACGATCATAAATTACTAAAAATGGTAAAAATCTCACATTGAAAATTTTCTGATCAATGATAACGTTTTTTAATTCAACCAATCGTTTTTCTAATGGGTCTTAAACAGTTTATAATGATTAAGTAAATGGATTGCGCATAATAGAGTGTGTTTTGTATAAAAATATTGCATACCCTAAATCAATATGAACCATCATCTCTTTCGTTTAAATTTTTGTTACAAAAAAATATATATGGTTCGGCAAAAAACTGAATCCAGATAATCAAACCAAATCTAATCCAAAAAGTAGTAAAAACATTTAACAAAAATTGGTTAGATATCCAATTAGATTCAAAATTTTGGTATCTCGAGAACCAAAACTTAATCAAAATATCTCGGGTATCCAAGTGTACTCGATTTAGATTTATATACTTAAATATATTAATTATTTTTAAATTTAACATCTAAGAATGTACAAAATACATGAGGTTTTTTAAAAAAAAATCCAAAATACTTAGAAATATATAAAATAGTTAAATGTACATTTTTAAAATAGCTAAACGAGACTCCAAATACCAAAACTATTTGAAATATTTATTGATTTTTTGTCCAAATATTCAAGATAAACCAGTTTTATGTTAATTTTAAAACTTTTGGCATTCCTTTTTCAAATTTATATGTTATATCTTATTTTTACTTTTAGATTTTGAAAGATTAAAGTATATAGAAATTTTAATTTTTTAAAAAAATAAATAAATGGGTTATCCGAACATAAACTCAATCCGAACCTGCAAAGATTCGAACCAAACTGCAAAGATCTAAACCAAACATAATTTAACCAAACCAAATGGTACCCAAATGTCCATCCCTAATCAAATGTAAAAAAGGTTATTGATAAAAAAAATGTATTTATACGAAATATTTTTAAAAAGCTCACCCCGCGCATGGCGCGGGTTATCATCTAGTAGTTAATATTTTGAATGCAGATATAAAGAAACCTGGCTTAAGTTATCATTTGGCTACCCAATAAAGTGATAAACCGTAGCTAACAGCAGTAATCCAGATTAGAAGTCAAAGAAGATAAAAGCTTGTTCTTTATTTCTTTTTAAAATAATACACGAGAAATTGTCTAGCTAGTTATTTGATGACTTCTTACCTATAAAATTAGTTGAAATTAATTTATACTAATATTGTTATTTCAAGTCTAACCACTCCATATATTGGAGAACGAACCTCGATATATCCAAGGTTATCGGGATCGAGTTCTTCCATGATCAAGGCAGCATACTCGTCTACCTTTTCTTGAATTTTTGATAGCTGGTTAGACGAAGCACTTAAAGCAATTATCTACAAACCCACAATTAATTAACATTTTAAATTTTCCAATAAGCAGCGGGCGAAATGAAATTGAGATGTATATTAATTTATTCTTCACCTCCTTAACCTCTTCTCCCGTAATACGCCCGTCCAAATCTTTGTCCACCCTTAGTCACATAAACATGTAGAATCAATGATACGAGTTACCATACATCATTTTTTTATTGAACTGTCCCAACATATAAATATAAACCATACTTACATATCAAAAAATATCCGCAGCCTAGCATCAAAACTATTGCCGGCGATCTGCTCCCAGAAATCGAATAGTTCAGTTTTGGTGATCGACGTAGTCCCTCTCCTTCGGACCAACGCCTCGAAAAGCTCGTTCACAAACTCGCTGGACTCAGCCATTCCTATTTAATTGAAAGTAACTTTAATTAATTCATATATTTGATCTCTCTTTAAAAAAATACAAAAATGTAACAATAAGAAATTATATAGAATTTAACACATTTGAAAAATAAATTGAGTTTTAGCATTGCAATTACAAAAAGAAGGCTGCATAATGATACACAACATTACTTGTTTTTATAAAAATGATCTAGCAAGAACGATATTATCAATAGACTAGAGAATTTACCTATGCAATGTCCAAATTTAGATTTTAGGAGCTTCCCATCAACAGCCAACTCATCGAATCTCTTTTCAACTTCATCCCAGCCTCTACCAACGGCGTCGTTTTGGGTTATAAACCTCAAGCCTCTAAGAGCAAACATAGCACCTGACTTACTCCGGTCGAGCCGGCGTGAAGCCAACGACAATGACTTCACCATCGTTTTTAGCCTCCCCGAAACCACCGACCGGAGAACTGCCATCGGCTTATTCTTTTCCACCTTCAACGTACCGATGCTCTCGTCTCGCATGTCGAGAGTGACCTCTACGTAGTCCTGATCACTATCATCTGAACCAGTGGCTTCACATCTAGAGGTTATATCTCCTTCGGACCAAGATTCCATTTCCTGCTCCATCTTCACTTGCTTGCCTTCCATTTGCTAACAACTACACTAAACACTCTTCTTGGTTTATTTAAGGACGATGAGAGTCAAAATGAAAAAGAAAAAAGAGAGCGTATGCTTATATATCTTTTATAGCTTAGTATTTTATTATTTGTCTCAATAATTTATGTTTTGTGTTAACCGATCTTGTACTTGGAGAAGAATTAGACTTCTATTACTCCCTCCGTTTCATATTAAGTGTCGTTGTAGATAATTTTTGCGTTATAAAATAAGTGTCGTATTCGGTTTTCAATGCAAAATTTATTAATTTTATGATATAATTAATTTTTCTATTGGTTAAAATATAGTTAGGTGTATAGGTAAATGTGTTTTTATATATGAAATATGTAAAACTAATTGTTTCCTTAATTCGTGTGCACAACTGTAAAATGACACTTATAATGAAACAGATGGAGTAATTGTTTTTTTTGGGTCAATTAGACTTTTATTAATTATCCTGATCCAACCATCGTATTTTTGGTATAATTAATAAAGGTTTAGTTAAAACGTGCGAACATATATTAAACTTGAGTTTTATACTATTAATTAATATAAACATTAGACAATACTATGACATACATGAAAAATTACAATATTTTAAATTGATATTCATATATTTAAAATTATTTCGATAACTATGTACTTTTCAATTATGACATTTTTTATTTGAGAATAAACTCATCTTATATATTAAAACAGAAGTCATGACTTGATTTCATGTGTGATTTTTTTAAAAACTGGAGTATTACTAGAAAGTCATGTTACATTAACTCTCTAATAATCTTATCATTATTATATCTTATGAAAAATCATATCTATAATAACAAAGATAGGCTTAACAATTTGGTTTTGGTAAATTACCCCACACTTTCCAACTTAGTCACACAAAATATGTTAATAGATATAAGTTTAGGAATCTACTATTATTTATAAGTAAATATGTCAATAATAGTTAAATGCATCTACAATATATTAACAAAATCACAGATTCGTAATATGGAATATTTATATACCCTAAAAATATTTACATGCTATATATACTAGATAAATTTATTTGGATGTAAAATTTTGAAATTATATTGTTTTAAAAAAAAGAAATTGTTTACAAAATTTCTTTTTAATAAAATTCTTTATAATATTAATTTATGAAGCTATAAGTTTAGTTTTTAGCAAAAATTTCTTTGAAGTTTATATTATCTTTGCAAATTAAAGTATACTAATATTTAATCAAACTCTATTTATATTATTTTATCTAAAAATGAAATATTAATCTAACAAACAATAAAATGTAGAAGAAGAAACAAACATATGTTTGAAAAACATGTGTAATATAGAAAATTAGAAACAATCTATTTGATTAAAACACGTATTATATAATATTATTATGTTTGAAAAACATTTACTATACATATCGTAAATATGTGATTACTATAATATATACCAATTTACAAGTGAAAACAAAATGTTTAAATAACTAACTATAAACGAAAACAAACACCCGCGCGGTTGCGCGGGTCAAAGTCTAGTAAATATTTAAAGCGAGTCAAAAACCAAGGGACCGCCATGATCAGGGTTTGGTTTGCATGTTTTGTTATTATCCTATTGTTATCGTACGTACTTTGATTATGCTTCAATAAAAACACAGAACATGGCAAAGTTATTTTCATTTGTATGATTGTGGCTGCGCAATAGATTAATGGAGTTGTTAAGCTCTGGTCATGTTCTTCCAAAATTACACCTCACCTCTTGAATTTGATATGCATTTGTTTTGGCACCACTCTAAATTCACTAAAAGCATAAATAAAATACTATTTTAATGATGATTTTTTTTTAGATAATTAAATTTGATTAGAAAAACCGAGATTGTAATTGTGGTCCTAGTTTCTGGATAACTATTAGCCTCTATCTGAATAAGTCATTAAACTTTCGGGTAGACGAGTTAATAAGACGTGTATCTTTATTATTGGATCGGTTACGTGTGTAAGAAACTACGAGCGCGCCAACACAATTTAGTTAATTCAGCTTACGTGTCAAGTAACGATTGGATAAGACACATAAATACAACTAGCAATATAAATACGAACCTTTAGGAGCATTGTTTGTTATAAACCCTAAGCATAACTATTCTTCTGTACGTACGCAAGCTCTAAACAACGAAGATGACGAGCAAAGCTCTTACATACGTGGTTTTTATGACATTAGGTAAATTTCAGACTTATCTCTGTGTTTGGATCGATTGATAAGTCATAGTACTTACTTTTTTTTTAACTGACTAATATGTGCTATGGCGTTTTCTTTTTTTTTTTTTATGAATCGAGCAGTTTTTATGTCAAGTGTGGCAATAGAAGGCGAAGAGGAGAAACTTGGGACAGTGATAGGGATCGATCTAGGGACTACATATTCATGTGTTGGTGTGTACCATAACAACCACGTTGAAATCATAGCAAACGATCAGGGAAACAGAATCACACCATCATGGGTTGCCTTTACTGATACCGAACGTCTCATAGGCGAGGCTGCTAAGAATCAAGCGGCCAAGAATCCTGAAGGGACTATCTTTGATCCAAAACGTCTGATGGGAAGAAAGTAAGTGTTTAATTTGTTTCCTAATATGTTTCGTTGATTCTAAACCTGATTAAAATCCCAGTGCATTAGTAAAAATACACGTTCGTAGATAATAATGTTTTTTTTTTTAAGGAAAAAGATTATAGAGTTATCAGATTGTATAAATATGGTTGTAAAGAGTTAAAAAATTATTGTTTACACAATCGATATTCAAACTCCAAAATAAGTATTTGTTTCAATGTGTTTTTCTCCAAGTATTCTTGCTTTCTTTATGCTAAATTCGCGTTAGTTTGTTCACAACATGTTTGTTCTTCTACAGGTTTGATGATCCTGATGTACAAAGGGATATCAAATTCTTGCCATACAAGGTAGTGAATAAAGATGGAAAGCCTTACATTCAAGTGAAGGTTAAAGGCGAGGTGAAAGTGTTTAGCCCTGAGGAAATAAGTGCTATGATACTAACCAAGATGAAGGAAACAGCTGAAGCTTTCTTGGGAAAGAAGATAAGAGATGCTGTCATAACCGTTCCAGGTATGTAGTAACATGTTAATGTCCACACTTCCTCCAAGTATATAGTATTTAAATTGTGTCATAATAAGAAGGTTGTGGCTTTGGTTGTTTTGCAGCGTATTTCAATGATGCACAGAGACAAGCAACAAAGGACGCAGGTGCAATCGCTGGACTTAACGTGGTACGTATAATAAACGAGCCAACAGGTGCAGCCATAGCTTATGGTCTAGACAAAAAAGGTGGGGAGACAAACATCCTCGTGTATGATCTCGGTGGAGGAACATTTGATGTTAGTATCCTTACCATAGACAATGGAGTCTTCGAAGTCTTATCAACAAGTGGAGACACTCACCTCGGTGGAGAAGACTTTGACCATAGAGTGATGGACTATTTCATCAAACTGATCAGGAAAAAGTATAACAAAGACATAAGCAAAGATCACAAGGCGCTTGGTAAGCTAAGACGTGAATGCGAGCGTGCTAAACGAGCTTTGAGCAATCAACACCAAGTCCGAGTTGAGATTGAGTCTCTCTTCGATGGAGCTGACTTCTCTGAGCCTTTGACGAAAGCGAGATTTGAAGAACTCAACATGGACTTGTTCAAGAAGACGATGGAGCCAGTGAAGAAGGCTCTTAAAGACGCGGGGTTGAAGAAGTCCGAGATAGATGAGATAGTTCTTGTTGGTGGAAGCACTAGAATCCCTAAAGTTCAGGAGATGCTAAAAGATTTCTTCGACGGCAAGGAACCTAACAAAGGGACCAACCCTGATGAGGCTGTGGCGTTTGGAGCTGCGGTTCAAGGTGGTATATTAAGTGGTGAAGGTGGAGAAGAAACTCAAGGTAAGTTACTCACAATAGTGTAGGGTTTGAATCAAACCCTAATTTTTTTTTTTCAAACCCTAATTTTAAATGAAAAACAGATATTCTTCTGCTTGATGTTGCACCGTTGAGTCTCGGTATTGAGACGGTGGGAGGCGTGATGACGAAGGTTATTCCGAGGAACACGGCTATACCAACAAAGAAGTCTCAGGTGTTCACTACTTATCAAGATCAGCAAACAACCGTGAGCATCAAGGTTTATGAAGGCGAGAGAAGCATGACTAAAGATAACCGTGAGCTTGGAAAGTTTGATCTCACAGGCATTCTTCCTGCTCCAAGGTAAAAATCTGATTCAATGTTGACATATATAACTGTTTTTTTTGGTTCGGTCTAGGTTACTTGTGACACAAGAAACGAATTAAGTTTTTTTCCAGGGGAGTAGCACAGATAGAGGTGACTTTTGAAGTGGACGCAAATGGGATTCTACAGGTGAAGGCAGAAGACAAAGTTGCAAAGACGTCACAGTCTATTACAATAACAAACGATAAAGGTCGTTTGACACAAGAAGAGATCGATGAAATGATTAGAGAAGCAGAGGAGTTTGCTGAGGAAGATAGGATTGTAAAGGAGAAGGTCGATGCAAAGAACAAGCTTGAAACGTATGTTTACAACATGAAGAGTACTGTGGGAGACAAGGAGAAGCTTGCTGAGAAGATAAGTGAAGAGGATAAAGAGAAGATGGAAGAGGCTTTGAAGGAAGCTTTGGAGTGGTTAGAGGAGAATGTTAATGCAGAGAAGGAGGATTATGAGGAGAAGTTGAAGGAGGTGGAATCGGTTTGTAATCCGGTTATCAAGTCGGTTTACGAGAAAACCAAGGGAGAGAGTGAAGAGGATGATGATGAAGAGTTATAGAGTCATGTAGTTTAAGGGTGTTTTTATTTTTGTTAGGCTTATTGGATTTGCAAATGTTTTTAGTTTTGTTTAGTACTTATTATCTACTATGAATAAAAGTTGCTAATGAAGCCAAATGAGGCTGTCCACGTTGGATCAAATAATCAACCAATCATATAGCCAAAAGTTTCCACGTCACCTCCGCACGGTTCTGTTGAACCCGGTTTCAGAAAATCTAATCCTACAAATTGAGTCATCGATTCGCTTCCACTCGCTTCATCTTCTCTATTTCCCCTTCTAGCGATCTTTATCACCATTAACAATCAATCCTACTCTTTCTTGCCCATCTCTTTTCTGCAATCTTCTTCCAGATATCGGTTTTCTTTCGATTTCTCCTCAGATACCTAATGGCCTCTTCGATAGTAAAGTTTCCTTGGAAGCGGCAGTATCTAATTCTAGCAATATATCAAAAAAAATCTCATCCCGTTGCGTTTTAGAAGTGTTTTATTGTCCAGTGGTTATGTTAGTTTTTCAATCTTTACGATTAGAATGGAGTAAAGTCTCCTGTTCAAATTGAATCAGCTAAGGTTTTGGTTCAGCTTTGTTGATTGTGGGACATGCTCAGACGAATCAGAGTTTTCTTTTTGAAAACGTTACGATAAAGCTTTTTACAGATCTATCAAAGCTCTCTTGGGTATCAACTCCAGCGGATGGAGAAGGCTCCTATTATACGTAACGGCGACATGAAAGAATGATTATACAAGTGGGTTTGGTGAAGTCCAGTCGTGAATTTGAGGATGAGGATTTTCTTTCAAATCCGATTGGTTTTTCTTTACGATTAATACTCTAGATCAGATGATTTGAGTATGGTTTCATGCATGGGAATCAATCTATGAAGTTCTTTAGTGTTCTGAGACATATGTTTGTTTGTTTGTTTGTATGATGGTGTAACGAGTAGAAAATGAACTGATTCAGTTGTTTATTTGATTGCAGTGTTGTCCACCTAGAGAGATTTAAGTAGCCTGAACCTGGAAAATAGATCTTGGTGTATGTGTATCTCATAAGAGTGATTTTAGGAGATTTATGGCTGTATGAACTCTTGGAGTTTGAAGAGAGACTCTCACAAGCTGTTAACCGGGTCATGAATGCGTGGTTAGGGACATGCTTCAACCAAGGGGAGCGGACATACCTTTACTGTTCTTGGTTTTGGTTGTATTTCCTGTAGTAGCTTACATATTATTAGGCAAATGGAGTGATAGTTCTGAAAAGAGAGGGAGGGCTAACTTGCTGGCTCAGATGGCAGCTGAGGAAGCTTTGATGGCTGAAATGGAAGTTAATGTGAATAGAGGTGTAAGATTTGAGGCTGTAGCTACTGAGAATAGAGGTCTAAGAACCAAGACCAAGGCCGCCGTTTCTGCTGCGAGTGGTGCTGTAAGAGATGATATTGTGGCTGGTGTGAGTGGGACTGTCGCTGAGCAGAGATTTGAATCTGTGGCTGCTACTCCGGGAGTCCCTGTTAATAATGAGTTTCATGTATGCGCAAGGTGTTTTAATCCTGCTAAGACACGCTGCTCGAGATGCAAATCTGTTAGATACTGGTATATTTCTATCTCCTATTTTGATTTCAGATACGTTTTTTGTTTTTTAATTATCTCTCTTTAGTTTTTGTAAGAGATATACCTGTTGCAGACAATATTAACCCATCTCTGACTCTTTTTCTCCTTTGATTTTTGACGTTTGCAGCTCTGGCCAGTGCCAAATAATTCACTGGAGGTTAGCTCATAAAGATGAATGTATCCCTGTGGAGACTTGCTCTTCATCATCTGAGATGGGTTCCTTTGAGAATGATTCTGTTTTGCATGACCACAACATCGATTCTACAATGTATAGTAACAGTACTAAGCAGAAAGCGAAGGGAAAGAATTCAAAAAGCTCTGTAGAATTTGAAAACTTGGGTACCTCTACACCACAAGTCAACACTCAAAGGAGAAAAAGCCTAGGAAAACCAGATTCTTCCAAGTCCACCCGAGAATCATTTAGTGGTAAAGCCGTTTTGCTACTGGAGATAACAAGAAGGGTCACACTAGACATAAGGTAAGTTGTTCTTAAACATTTTTCATTCTCTGCTTTAATTAGCCAAAAAAATTGTTCTGTCTTGCTAAAGGTCTTCATGGTTCTTGAAATTTAAACCTAGTTCTTATAAAAAAACAACTTCATTGTGTTTACATTAGGACAAAGGCAAAAACTAAACACATAAAGACAAGAAGACAGAACATAATCTCTCACATGATCAAACCATAACCTAAGAGATTGAACATTTTACATGTTACATATAGATAGAACAAACGAGAAATCAGAAGTCAAAGTCGCCACCCATGTCACCCATATCAGCAATGTCATCAATAGCTTCACCAACAAGCAACCCACCCAATAATCCAGCTCCAAGCCCAAGTCCTAGACCCATTCCAGCTCCTCCATGCTTCTTCGGTTTCTGCGGTTTACCATAAGCTGCTTGCTGTTGCGGGTAACCATACGGACCCTGTGGTGGATATCCCGGATATCCATACCCCGGACCCTGAGGTGGATAACCCGGGTATCCACCTTGCTGTGGAGGTGGATATCCGTGCTGCGGGTATGCACCTCCTGGTGGTGGATACCCACCAGGCCCAGCTGGAGGATATCCAACCGGTCCGCCAGGTGGCGGATATCCACCAGCTGGTGGATAACCGTAAGCACCACCACCGTGTTTATCATCATGTCCTGGTGGTGGATATCCGGAAGGACCTGGTGGATATGCAGACGTGGCACCTTGTCCGGGCGGGTAAGCAGTAACCGGATGCTGATCCATGGTCTTATGATCCAGAGTCGACGGACCCGGCGCGTGAGGAGCACTCGCCGATCCATAAGTATACTTTTCACCGAATTTAAACGAGAATTTGAGAGATCCTTTGGCCTTACCGTTAGGTAACCTCACGGCGTACGTCACCGTTTTCTCCTCGCCGCCTCCGTCTTTGTTCTGATCCAAAAGCTCCTTCACCGGAACGCTAACCTCTCCGACGGGTTTATCACCGGCGATGGGACGATCAGCAACGATCTCGATCACTAAGGTGAGACGATTCTCACGCGCCGCCGCGTCGTCGACGGTGAGCTTCATCTGATGTTTCCATTTAGGTTTCGTCCCGCAGTCTTTGTCCACCTTCGTCTTCTGCTTGGTCCTCGCGTCGCCGTTGATCGAAACGACGGCGTATAAGTCTTGCTTGCCGATCAATTGGATGTCTTTGAGATCCTCTGCGGATATGATCGTGAGATCTAAAGGTCTACACTCCATGGTTTTGTCGGATTGAGATGAAAGAAAGAAAAAAACTTGAGATTTGATTTTGAGCAAAGAGAAAGATTTTTATGAGGAAATTAAAAGCTGAAGAGGGTAATGATGTGTGTATATATATGTATTTATGTTCGTGTCGGTTTAATGAAGGAAAATGTTTTTATTGCACACGGGAAGGACACGCACAAGATTAGATTATTGTTTTGGAAATAAATGACGCGTTTATTACCTTTCAATCCTAAAATTAGTTCCTTTTTTTTTTTTCCTTATCCTTAACGTTTCTAGAATTGTGTAACGCTAGACTTTATACGTTATATATTTGGAGTGCTTAAAGAAAAAGGTGAAAAACCGAAGATACCATTATTTATTCTTCTTCTTTTTTTAGAAAGAAAATAGTACCATAATGCTTCAAACACACATGTTTGCTACATTAAAGCTTAAATTTTTTTTACTACGTGTTTTGCCCGCACATGCGGGCTCAGCAATTTTATAATTATTTATTATTAGTAAATGCATTACTAACTAAAATGCTATAAAGATATATTTTTATTTATATTTTCATTATATAAATATATTAATTTATGTATTTTCTGTTTATGAATTTTTGAATTTTAATTTTTTTATAAGAGATACTTTTGGATAACAACACAATATATATAAGAATTATCTTTTTAAAATAAAAACTATTTTAATATATTAATTTATGTATTTGCTGTTTATGAATTTTCGACTTTATTTTTTTTATAAAAGATATTTTTGATAAGAATTATCTTTATAAAATAAAATCTATATTTTAGATTTTGATTAATTCTTCTTGTTATTAATTTTAACAAATAATCTAGTAAATGAATATTAAAAATTTTGAATTTTAATTTTTTTCTATACAAGATACTTTTGGATAACAACACAATATATATATATATATATATATATATATATACGAATTATCTTTTTAAAATAAAAACTATTTTAATATATTAATTTATGTATTTGTTGTTTATGAATTTTTGACTTTAATTTTTTTTATAGAAAATATTTTTGGATAACAACACAATATATATAAGAATTATCTTTATAAATTAAAATCTATATTTTAGATTTTGATTAATTCTTCTTGTTATTAATTTTAACAACTAATCTAGTAAATGAATATTAAATTCGTTTTTAATTTTTAGCTAATTTATTTATATAATTTATTCATTAAGGGTATAATCGATATTAACCACTCCAACTTTTAACGTGAGAGCTCCGTTGCGAAAAATCACTTCGCAAATAATAGTATAGAATATAATTTATATAATTTATTTATTAAGGGTATAATCGATATTAGCCACTCCAACTTTTAACGTGAGAGCTCCGTTGCGAAAAATCACTTCGCAAATAATAGTATAGATAGCATATGCAACCGTGAGACTCATAAAAGTCCTTAGGGAAAAAGGTATTTCAGATTTAGTAAAGATATTTCGAAATTGTTTTTTTTTCAAAAAATTCCATTCGTGGGCTGCCACGTGTCCTGGAGACCTGCAAATAGTGTAAAGATTCGATAAGAATCAATCCTTATTTAAGAATTTTAAAGATCGAATTCTTAACTTTTTTGTAGGATATACTAATTATTTAATTACTTTTTTCTCTAAAGATTCTGTTGGAGGTGTTCTAACTTTTAAGTTTTCTTTTTAAACGTGGAGTATATACTAAATGCCATTAAATAGAACACATGAATGCATAAACTGAATCATGGTTTATTTTTCGTAAGACGAATTGTTTATTTATTTGAACTAGAAGACGAAGTGTTTTTATTATGCATAAGGTTCAATAACACTACGGTTTGGATGCGAGTAGCCAGTAAACGAAGTTGAATCTGTTTGTTGAGAAAGACATTAATGTAGTTCTTTTATAATGTACCACGTACAAAAATGTAAGTGAAACTGTTTTGTTTAGTTTTACATAATTACTTACACAAAGCATTGGTTAAAGAAAGAAAAACGTTTCGTAGTTCTTTTATAAGTTTGGAGATTGCTTGAAAACGTATTATAGTTTGCATTTACTAGTCAATTTGCTTGACCTTAACCTTTTCTACTCATGTTGGAACAAAATAAAGATAAGGAATCTTTTTTGAAAGGAGGATAATCTCGAGCATCGTTCAAGTTGAATGCGCGTGGAACACTGGAATAACTCGGAAGTGGTTTATTGCTTGATTCTCATTGGTTCTCGGTTTCTTAATGGAATAATCTTTTTAAGTTTCAACGATAGCCTCGTCTCCGCAACTCGCGTGGCCCTGACGCACCACCCATCCACATTCTCTGCAACTTTATTCTCCTTCATGCACATTTGTATTCAATAGGGGTGGGCGTTCGGGTACCCGTTCGGGTTCGGATCGGGTATTTCGGGTTTTCGGGTATTTCGGTATTGGGGTATAGAACCCGTTCGGGTATTTTTACATATCGGGTCGGGTTCGGATATTTTTAGTTCGGGTTCGGTTATTTCGGGTCGGGTTCGGATATTTTGATTTTGAAAGAAAATTTCAAATTCTTTATTACTTAAGTTTCATGTATTTAAAATTTAACTATTAACTTAATTGTTTTTAAAATGTTTAATAAGTTAGACGATTAATAATTTTGAAAATAAATTATTGAAAATAAAATTCATTATTTTGGTTGTTATTTTTGAATTTTGGATGCAATTTTTTTTTAAAATAGGAAATAAGAAGCTTAATATGCATTTTAAATGAGTAACAAATTATTATTTTTTTACATTTATATGTATATTGTCTGATCTTAAATTATATATAACATTAATATAAATATTTTTAATAAAATGAGATAAATAAACTAGGAATAAATAGGTATATATACATATGTTCGGTTATCTTCGGATACCCGTTCGGGTTCGGGTAATACCCGTTCGGGTTCGGATATCCAAACTCTCCTAACTCAATACCCGTTCGGGTATTTTGCTACTTCGGTTCGGATTTCGGTTCGGATATTTCGGGTCGGGTTCGGGTANTTTTTAATAAAATGAGATAAATAAACTAGGAATAAATAGGTATATATACATATGTTCGGTTATCTTCGGATACCCGTTCGGGTTCGGGTAATACCCGTTCGGGTTCGGATATCCAAACTCTCCTAACTCAATACCCGTTCGGGTATTTTGCTACTTCGGTTCGGATTTCGGTTCGGATATTTCGGGTCGGGTTCGGGTACGAGTTCGGGTATCGGATAAAGTGCCCACCCCTAGTATTCAAATTGAACATACACGTTACTCCAATTATTTCATATCTTTAGTTTCTTAAACATTTACCATATTTCACCATTTGTTCACAATTTATTTTTAAATGAATTGAAAGTTTCAATTGTGAAAATACTGCCAGTGAAAAGGATAAAAAGGTTTCCTGTTTGGTCGTAAAGCTTTTCTATGAATAGAACACATCAAAGCAAACATATTGATTTATAAGAGTTAAGATTAAATCGGTTGACCTTGTTATCTTGGAAATCTTGTCAGTCTCCAATGTTGAATAGTAGTATGAGCTCTGCCTTACATCATGTGCTGATGCGCATAATGCTATGTCAGTATCATTGACTTTGACTATGAATTTGGTGCTATGGAACCAAATACAACTCTTCATTATTGAGTTGTTTCAGATTCCAATATGGTAAAAATGTATCATGTATGAACTGCAGAAAATATCAAGGTTTAGTGGTGACCTGGTTTGTGGCAAGAGGCTTAGGACAGTAACACTGCTGATTTCTACTAGATTTGACAACAAGGCCACATATATTGTAACAATGTTTCTTGACTGAAATAAATTTTAGATTCTTAAAAAAAAACCTAACTTATGACTGAAATAATCTGGAGCAATATGATTTCAATGAGATGACAAGACAAGAGATTGGAAGAAAGTTAACTCAAATAGCAGAGAGAAAAGGTATGAAATAAAATCCACTTTGTCTAAAAACCTAACTTATGTACACATTTATTCTAAAGCAAAAGGCCATTCCTCTCACAACCAACTGCCGTCTATCCAGATCCTTGCTCTTAGTTGTTGCTTCATTAAGAAGAAAGCCAGGCTTTGTATCCTCAATTTGATTCAAGCGCTTGCTTAACTCCAAACATACACTCTCATTGTCTGACAAAAACTTTGCTCTGTTACACGCCTTAGCTAAGCGGTTTGAGCTTTCACATTTTCCTGGTTTAACCGTGCTTTTCATTCTCTTGCTTGTCAAAAAGTTGGATTCAAGAGCTTCCAGTGCCCTAGTGGTCAATGGTCGCTTTCTTGTGCTTTGTCTTCTTGGAGCATATGTATTAGTTTGTTGGTCGTGCCGTTGTTGTTCTGATGAACCAAGTTCTTGAGTTGTTCCAAGAGCATTGGGTGGAGAAGTATTAGAGCCTGAAATGGAAGAAAGCTCAACTGCTTGCTCTTGTTTCGGATCATTGGTAGCAAGGTTTTTGTCAGAGTGTGACACAGAACATAGCCCGTTTGGTTCTTGTTCTTCTGATGAAATGAGTTCATGGACGGTTCTTATCGAACTTAACTCATTTGGTTTGATCTCTGACACTTCTTGAATCTCAACAAGCGCAGTACACGGTCCGGTTTCAGTCTTTTTTGATTGATCAGACTTCAATTTCATATAATCAACGCTTTCATATCTCTCTTTATCTTCATTCATCTCTCCACGAATGCTATTTTGGTTTTGGTCTGCTTCAGGACATACCATCCTCTTTGTGTCATCACCATGTAAATGTCTGAACACTGAATCTTCTCTTGAAAGGCTTTTTTCACTCCTTACACAAGTACTGAGCCGTCTGCGTTTCAATAAATAACTTATGTATTATATTGTTATCTTGAAAATATGTTTTTCTATTATAAAATTAAGATATAAAAAATTATAATTAAATAGAAATTATGTAAAAATATTTATATAAATATTATAATTAAATATAAATAAAACAAAATAATTATAAAAATATATTCTTTTAAATATTTCTGATGTTTGAGTTTTGTCATTGATAATTATTCGATATTTGATTTATACTTTTTAAAAACATAAATAATAATTTATTATGATGAATTTTAAATTAATGAAACATCAACTAATAAATATTCATAAGATAATTATGTCCGTAAATGCGAACAAAACATCTAGTTATTTGTTAAAACTACAAATGTGATAAAGATAGGATACTAAATATAGCTAACTTGAATAATTTATTTTATTGTATGCTATTTTACGTACAAAGAGTACTAGGGAGTATATATTTGAATAATTTATAGAGGCTCTAATTTATATAGATATTTTCTTAAAGAAAAAAGAATACTGGTATTGGTGCTAATTATTTAAACGATTGTAATAATAATGTTACGTATTTTTCTTGTCAACATAATGCTATGTTTTTTTTCCGGGGAAATTACAGTAATTTTTTTAATATAACAGTAGTAAAAAAAAATTAAAAAGGAAAAAAATCATATCTCCATGGTGGATTAAAAACGAAAACATAACATCGTCACCCTCACAGATTGTTCACCTTAGAAAGAAAGAAAAGACCCAATCACATCACATATTATTTCCCCCAGATCCATCCATCCCCATTCAAAACAATGCCATCTCCAAATTAGGGTTTCTCCCCAATCCCTAATTCTCCAATCTCATTTCGATCATCAAAGCTCAAGTTTTTTCCTCGAATTTCTCCAGCTAAAGTTTTCAATTGGTGTAATCATCTCATCAGTTGAGTTTAGGGCTCTGTGTGTTGATAAAATTTCTCCCTTAGGTTCGTGGAGTTTAGTAATAATTTCCCTCTCTCTTGTTGTAAGATCGTGATTTGGGATTTTAGGGTTTTTGATCACTGGTGGCTTAGCTTCATCGAATAAGCCGTTAAAGTCGGAAGCTTTAAAGAGTTTCTTCTGTTTTGAAGAATCAATTAAGAATTAGTTTCTAGGAGTTAGTTTCTGTGGACTGTTGTAGCGTGTAAACTATATATATAAAAGAGACTTAGGGAGGTGATGTTTGGTGGTTCTACATTGGCTAATAACCGTGGAAACAGTGCTGCTTCAGCGCAGCTTGTTACTCCCACTCGCTTTGTCTGGCCTTATGGAGGTAGAAGGGTCTTTCTTAGCGGATCTTTCACCAGGTTAGATGATTGAGCTTGAAAGAAGATTTTTTTTTTTTTCCAATACATTATGGTGCTCTGTGTAGTATATATTGGTTCTTTGCAATGTGTATACTTATTTTTTTTTTGAAATGGGAATGCGGACAGGTGGACTGAACATGTGCCAATGTCACCACTTGAGGGCTGCCCTACTGTTTTTCAAGTCATTTGCAACTTGACTCCTGGATATCATCAGGTTTCTAATTTGTACTTTGACCTGTTTCTTAACAGATACGTCATGAGTTATAGACTCTGTGACATCAATGATACTAATGCATTTAGTCTATATATGCTAATCACTGCCGTATTCATGAGAATCATAGATACATTTGTCATAGTTGATTACATTCCCAACAGGTAGTGTCATCATTGAACACTCTGTACATCATCATACACGTCTTGTAGCCATGGAACATTCTTAACTGCATATCCGAGTGAAAATAGTGGTTATTTTAGTTTCTGGAAATTTACTGTGTTGGATTTTGCAATATCTAACATGAGGTCGATATCAAGACTTGAGATGTTTGAGAAGCCTCTGGTGTAACATTCAGTTTATTTCATTTTTCATGCAGTATAAGTTTTATGTTGATGGGGAATGGAGGCACGATGAGCACCAGCCATTTGTAAACGGGGATGGTGGAGTAATGAATACGATACTTATAACTGTACCAGATATGGTTCCCACTAGTTTTAGCCCATCGAACATGGATGTGGATGATTTCTCCCAGCGAGTGGTACGGAATATGACCTTTTTCTTTTTAAAAAGTTCAGTGTTATGTTTGTTTACTTGTTAGTAGCTTAATTGATTTTGTGTTTTAAATACTGTTTCTATATATATCCGACGCTTCATTTTATTTTTTATTGCAAATCGAAATTCTTAAAAAGAGATATACATTTACCTTAAAAGGGAAAGATGTGGAGTCCCTACATGTGGAAAAGAAATAGTTAAGGATAATAGTATCTTATTTGATGTATGTAGCATGAGCCTTTAAGTTCCATACTATTCTCTCTGAAGACTCATATTAAATTTCTGACTGTTTACATGTGATTATATTATAGGCTGATCCATCCCAGGATTCGATCCCTAGGATGTCAGCGGTTGATTTGGAGGTGTCTCGTCACCGTATCGCTGTTTTATTGTCAAACCGTACTGCATACGAGCTGCTCCCAGAGTCGGGCAAGGTCCTGTTTCTTCATCTTATTATTGCTTGATGACTTTTGTCTTCATATAGATGATAATATTTTAGCCGGAAATTGTCTAAGGTGATTGTAAACTCTTGCAGGTTATAGCATTGGATGTAAATTTACCGGTAAAGCAAGCATTCCACATACTCTATGAGCAGGTTTGCTATATTTACCATTGTAACAGCTTCTCTTCTTTTCGGGACGTTCCTCTTTTTCTCCCTCAGTCATGTATGACATAATGTTATTTCATGTATACCCAAAAGGGAAGGACATGAAACTTAAGAGAACTAAAATTAATTTATAGATTGTCTGCTTCCTGAGATTTGCTTATTATGGACGCTTTCAGGGAATCCCTTTGGCTCCTCTTTGGGACTTTGGTAAAGGCCAATTTGTTGGAGTTCTTGGTCCACTGGACTTCATTCTAATACTGAGAGAGGTTAGCTTCTGTAAAGATTTGTTCATTGCTTGAGCATTCCTTCGAGTGATTGGCGTATCATTTTAGAATTTCCAAGAGTAAATTGTCTAAATGTCAGTAACTCAAAGGGATTTTCATATGCTTTACTGCCCAGTAATAGTACTAGTGTGTGGCTAATTATACTGTCTAAGCTTGGATATAATTTGAATGAGTGTAATAGATTTCCGTAGTTTTGAAGTGTATTACCTATGAATTTATACTGTAGTTGCTTTCTCAGTATAGATTTTTTTCACTCTTGCTTGATAATAGCAACTCTGGAATTGCAGCTTGGAACGCATGGATCGAATTTGACAGAAGAAGAGCTTGAGACGCACACAATAGCAGCATGGAAAGAGGGGAAGGCTCATATTAGCAGACAATATGATGGAACTGGGAGACCAAATCCTAGACCACTTGTTCAGGTGAAACTTTCACAGTTGCTCTCTACTGCTACCACTACTGATCTTTTCATGTAGCTTCCTTTAGAATACCATCTCTCTTGATTATCGTTTCTTTTACTTTGAGAAAGGTTCTGTTGATTATCGCTGTCTACAAACTCTTTTACTCAAGTGTTTTAGCTATCTCGGCTCACATATTTCTACAGTTGATTCAACAATATAAGTTCAAAATGAATTGAATAACGTGACTGTTCTACATTTTGGTTTGGGAGGCCTACTTATCGTGGAATATGACTGATTCATATATGCTTGTCTACTTGTTTACTTCTAACCGCTTCTTCTTGCGTTCACTGAACATAGCTTTACCCTGGAAACTTCTACTGCTGGTTACAGCAAAAATATTTTTTTTCTCTCTTGCTATTAATGTTTTCATATTTTGCAATCAGGTTGGGCCCTATGATAACCTGAAAGACGTTACCCTGAAGATTTTGCAAAACAAGGTGGCCGCCGTTCCAGTTATATACTCGTCTTTGCAGGATGAGTCATATCCGCAGTTACTGCATCTTGCTTCGCTATCAGGCATATTAAAATGTAAGGTCCTTCATTTATGAATAACATCATAAGACACTGATAACCGCTCCAAATTGGCTATACACGCTTGTCATTTCATGACGTGCATATGATTCTACCATTTCTGAAACCTTCCTACTTCACTTCGCTATGTATTCTGAGTAAATATGTCAGGACAGAAATAACAAGCTATATAGTTGGAATAGCCTCTCCCAATCTTTAGCACAATTTTGCCTGTTGTGCAAACAAATTTCCGAAAGTTTATGCTTCTTATTAAGAAACTTTACATCAACTTTACGCATAATATTTCAGGTATATGCAGATACTTTAGACATTCGTCTAGCTCTTTGCCAATCCTTCAGCAGCCCATTTGTTCAATTCCCTTGGGTACTTGGGTCCCTAGAATCGGAGAATCAAGTAGCAAACCACTCGCTACATTGAGACCACACGCCTCTTTGGGTTCTGCTCTCTCTTTATTAGTCCAAGGTAAACCGTTTTTGCTCTTGTTTTATCTATATATTGTTTGAAGTTCTTCATAGATGGTTATATCACCTAGTAGTTGAACACGTGGTGCTCTTCGACCTATCTTATCAAAGTTTTTTTAGAGAGCATCATATCAATTCAAGTCAATTTACGTAAAATAACCAGCGACCACTTTTATAATATTAGTGCATATGTAATTGTTGCAACAGTTCATGTTGGGATTTACATCAAAGTATCGAGTTCTAGGGAAGTGGAAACCTAATTTAAATTCAAAGCGAATGGATATCAGCAGAATATCACATGATGGCATTGCACGCGAGAACCTTTTTCTGTTTCCTCAGAGATAGAAATGAATTAACGAGTTGTGTTTCATTTATGTCTCTAATGTCTTGTGTTTATTTGGTTTTTACAGCTGAGGTTAGTTCAATTCCTGTAGTGGATGACAATGACTCGCTTATTGACATATACTCCCGAAGGTAAACAAACCTCTATCCATCAGTTGACAGTATATTTCTTCGTTTTTTTTGAATCCATGTATTCTTATCACATATCCTATATTGGACAGTGACATAACTGCTCTGGCTAAAGATAAGGCATACGCACAGATTCATCTTGATGACATGACGGTTCATCAGGTAAAAACCTCTCAGCAGAAGCCAAGTCTCATCAAAATTTTCAAGTCTAGCTGCCTATTGTAAAAGTAATATTAATGTGGTTCTAAAAATATGTGCGGAGTTTCAGGCTCTGCAGTTGGGGCAAGATGCGAGTCCACCTTATGGAATCTTCAACGGGCAGAGATGTCACATGTGCTTGCGCTCAGACTCTCTTGGGAAAGTGATAGAACGGTTGGCTAATCCAGGTACCACTTTCTCTCCCTTGCATACACTCTTCAGGCTTTGTTTCTCACTATCATCAGATGAGAAGTATGTTTATTGGGTTTGGTTTTGTGTAACAGGTGTAAGGAGACTGGTGATAGTGGAAGCAGGGAGCAAACGTGTTGAAGGTATCATATCTTTGAGCGATGTTTTCAAGTTCCTACTCGGTCTTTGACTACTCAAAACTCTTTTCTCATTTCCTCAAATCAAACTACCCAACAGTTTGCTTCTTTCTTTTTTGTATTTTTTTTTTGGAGTCGGAATCTGTAAATCTTTATACAAACACCTTCATTGTTTTCTTCTTATTTATTTTTGTTTTGTTTAAGTTGAACGTGTTTCCTTCCATTATTGTGAAGATATTGGTTACCTAAAGCTTTACTGCTAGTATCTCAGCTTTAAAATCTCACCAGAGACCAGAGGCAATACAAATACAAACAATTCATCATTATATTTCAACATCTAAACGCAAATACAAGTATGTTTTTCATTACGTATACACACAATCATAGCTCAGCAGTGTTCATGTATGGTTAACCAGTGAACCACCCATACATCAGCATTTCAGAAGTTTAGATCAGAAACTAAAGTTGCAGAGATCCAAGTTGAACAATGATTTTATTGTTATCCTTAATGCCATCACTCAGATCCAAGTTGGAAGATATGAGATTCCATTAACTCTTTCCCCCAATGCTTTCATGCATGCCCTCATAGCTTTCAAACCAAATCAAATCCAAAACGCTATATATAACTGACTTATTCAAGAAAGTTCTTCTTCCTTGGATCTTTCACTTGAATTCTCCAATGCTTTTCAGGTAAACCCTTAACCTTTGCCGTTTTCCTCCACTTCTCAATATCCTTCACCATCTTGCGAGTCAAACCACAATAGCCTCTCAACTTCTTCGGCATCTTGTCATACACTTTCCACCATTTCTCATGCACCGACTCACTTGCGTACACACGCCGTGATTTCAAGTCCCAGTTACAATCGTAGTCTCTGTAACATAGCCATGGTTTTAGTCCCAAGTAGTGTATCCCCTCTAAATTGTCTGGGAGATGGCGCTTTTGGTCGTTCTTGCTTTCAGCACCGAAGTACTTCATCGTGTTCACATGTTTGGATAACCTATGCCACCACACAAAATACTCGTTCAGAAACCCTTGGTCTCCTCCGTTATAAGACTTGATCTTGTATGATTTCAGCATCAGTTCCTTGAACAAACAAGCTGATGGTTCCAAAACCTGAAGAATATAATTGTTACAATCTATATAAAATTCAAATCCTTTAATAGTACAAAAAATAGTAACAAAACAGCAAATAAGGAAAAAATCCCCAAAAAACACTAACTAAAGATTAAATGACTAGACTATACTTCAAATATTAATTATACATTTACCCTACACCATCCTCTAAATATTAAATTATAAACCTTAATCAACAATTCCAAATCTAAACCAAATATAAAATAAAATTTTATTTTAATTTATAAATAATGCTATTTTTTTTTTTTTGTGTTATTTTGGGACCAAAAATGTGTGTTTAGTGCTATTTTTAGGTGTCTTTTTCTAAAAATTATAGTGTGGATACATTACCATGACTCCGGAGTTGAACAACACTTTGTCGTTGCCAGCAGCAGAAAGTTGAGGAAAGGAGAAAAGATAATCAACATTCTTGGCTATGATGAAGTCTGCGTCTATGAACACTAGCTTATCGTAATCGGTTACTTGCCACACACGTAACTTACTATAGTTCCACTCATTGTAAGAACCTTTCTTGGAGAAAGGGCTACGTATTCTCTCTACCCTCCGTAGTTCCCACCCCGCACGGTTTAGGCCAATGCGAGATGCTTTTGTTATGGAGTCGTCATGAAGGAGTATCATGTCATGCGTCGAGCCAGATTGTCTTATGCTTTGTGCTAAGGCTATTGCCCCGCATACGTAGACCTCTGATGAGTGGAGCAACGTCACGTAGGCAAAACGTTGTGCACCAGATGATGATGATAATGTGGTTGTTGATATGAGAGTTTTGTTCTGCTGCTGTCTCCATGCTTCTTGATCTTTAACAAGTAATGAGATTAATCAAGTTAGGGAAATGTATGATATCATGTTAAATTAGAGTGTTACAAAAAAAAAATCATGTTAAATTAGAGTAGCAACATCAATAATATATACTCTAATAAGATATGAAAAGCAAATACAGTGGAGTAGAGAAGTTAGGTAATGATTTGGTGATTTGGTAGCTAAGGTATCTGGTAAGAATTATAAGAATTAATCATTTTACATTCAAATTCTTTTTGGAGTTTTACACTTTAGCAACTTAAGTTTACTAGTTTTACTATTTATAATCTAGTTTTATATACTAAAAACTACAAAATATAAGTTTTTCTAAGAAGTTACCTAATTGAGCAACCTGCGTTGCAATCTGACAAGAACCAACAGGCATGACAAGCTTTTGCTTCAACTTGTCTAGATTAGGTCTATACACCCAATAATCCCCTACGCGCCTCACGCGCTCATCACACCTAAAGATCTCATGCATGGGACCACATGACCCGATAAACACAACGTAAACCGTCCGGTCAACTCTCCTCGCCCCACTCTCCACCACCAGCTTCGCCGCCGCAAGATTCACCTGTAGCCTTAAAACATCTCTCAACCCTTTACTCTCCAAATCTCCATCGCACGGCACTTTCACAACCACGACGTCCACGTCAGCATCAGAGCCTTCCACACGAGGGAGAGGCACCTCTGGACACACTGGCGCGTGCCACTTGTGATCCTCGTCGATCCAGACCGGATACAAACTCTCCCACGTCAGATTCTTCGGAAGAGGATCTAACGTCACGTGGACATTCTCCAAGATCGACGTCCCCGTTGCCTCGTAGCTATCACCCTCGTTTTCTGCGATGTTGAGAAGACCAACTCTGATGTTTTTGTCTGGAAGATGGTTCTTGATTAGTTTGAACCATCTCGGGCTCCGGTTAACTGGTGTCGGTAAAGAGTAATGAATCTCAACTATCGATGGAGAAGTGATCATGGGATTGAGTAGAAAGAGAGGTTTGAACGTTACTACCAAACCCAAAAACGAAAATGACATGAGTGTTAGATAAAACATCAAAAACCTCTTGCTTGTATTTTTGTTTTTTAACCCCATTTTTTCCCTCAAAACTCTCTATATGCGCTTAAAACATGAATTTATATATTAATAATCTCAGAGATACATGTACTTATATGAAAAGTGTATACAAGTACACGAGGCTTGAAATGCATGGAGGTCAATTGGTTAGGTGAGACTACGAAGGTAATTAGCTTCCATGCGCAAGTTAGGCCCGTGTTACAATTTGAAGAAAAATTCTTCTAACATTATTGTGGAGATATATAATTAAACTGGTCACGAAGCTTGAGATTGTTTTCAATCATACATTAAAGAAATCATTGGTCGTTGATTTGTCAAGAAAAATCATTTAATAACTGATTTTGTTGGCTTCGTGTATATGTCGTTAAGTAGCGCTGAATCATAAGAATCCCATTTTTGAATATTTATTGATAGTCGGTTGAAAGATCATAACAAACCACTATACATTGTTATTTAGGTACGAGTAATAATAATTTAAGGAAATATATGATTAATTAGCAAAGACAAAATAATAATTTGATTGCCAACTAACTTCCAAAATTTAAATAATTCAACAAAATAATATGATAATTGGACACCAACCTATTGGTTAAACACTCCAATTAATTGTCACACATACAAGTAGTTATAACTTGTTGTTTTTTGCAAATACATTTGGGGATGGATGGAGATCGAGTAGACTAGAGATGCAAATTGTGGGTGTAGGAAGCTGAGGTGTGACAGGACATAAACCAAATAACATATGCTCAAACATGCATTTTCTATGAAAAAAATCACATGAATTTTGAAAGGGAATCCACAAGACTAAGAAGAAAACCGTCTGAGCCATGCTTAGCCACCAAGGATACTGATATAGGAAGATTTTCATGCAGCCCCAATGGTATGCTCACCTGTCAGGGAAAAATCAGACCGGTTCTTATCTTGTTCCACATGAAAGACATTTTGTTGTTGTTGTTATTACCTGACAGAATCCAGAGACGCCGGTTATGGACAACAAGCTGAAGGCTCTGCTCCGGAACGATTCTAGTGCAACCACATCAGCTTGGAGATGTGGTGGAGGACCAGGTACTGTCGGAATCACCAACACACCATTCTCCTACAAAATCATTTACATATTCAGTAGATGAATATATTGTTGACAAAGTTCTACATCAAAAAAAGTTGGAAAAGATTTAAAAAGTATATATAAAGAAAACTAGCGAATCTATTTCTTACCGTTTTAGGTTAGAAATCCATTTAACTTAATATAGTATTAGAGCCGAATCAATAATCGATTGAGACCAAATTCGGTCCATCGATCCTAGTAAGGGTTTTAAGAAGTTTGTTGTACAAGTTTAAAATTTTAGGATAAATAGGAAGAAGTTTGTACCCCAAGTAAAGTTGAAAGAGCGGTTAAAAGTTCGGTTTTCACCAACCGGCAAAGGTCAATCTTCTCGTCAGACACCCTCATAGCTTCCTCAATCCGTTCTGATATTCCAGGACCAAACACTGGCTTCACCGACAAGACCCATTCACCGTGGTTCATCTTGAACTCGTACCTCTGTAACATTCTCATTGAACTCGAGAGAGCCATGAGAGAAGGAATACAGAACTCTTGTTGTGTCTCACTTGTCATAAAATGCTTAAGGCTCGGAACATTCTCTTCAATGTACTCTCCAAGATCCACCTTGTTTATTACAGTGTTGCCTTGACACATAACAAGAGTAATAAAGACACTAAACAAAAAAAAAGACTATTAAGTTTTTATGATGCATCTTACCTCTAAATGATTTGTCCACTGATCGAACTAGAGGCTGCACCAATAGATCATGTGGTACACTACACAGCTTGAAACAGTCATCTGCAATAATCAACTGACTTGGTTCCGTAACGTTCAAGTCAGGCTGCTGTAGGAGAACGCAGCCTACGCGTTTCAAAGTAGCTGTGTCCCTAGCAAACCAGCCTAGAGAGACAAATGTTATATCAAGATACTGTGTTTAACTCATAACGTGTTGGTTTTTTACTTGTCTTTACCAACTGTGTCGAAGCTCTGAGACAGTGGAGTGACTCCGACAGTAGATACAACTCCATGTGATGGTCTAAACCCAAAAATACCACAGTAAGAGGCTGGGACTCGTACACTCCCTCCAGTATCAGTTCCTGCTTGATGAAAAAAAACAGAGCATTTACAAATATTAATTATTTAAATTTTAAAATAATACAAATATATAAACATAATTTCTAAATCAAAAATTATTTTTAAAAACTCTGTATTTCCTGAATATTTCTTCGGGTTTAAGTTGGTTTTTCAAATTTTTGTTTTAAATTTGAACCTAATCCTTACAGTTTTTAATTCAATTATGTTTTGGAATTTATAAAAAAATAGAAATCCGACCTAAACATGTAACACCCATCCTATCCAATCTGAAAAATGTCTGATTCCTAAACGTAATTTCTAAATTAAAAATTTATTTGAAAACCCTGTATTTCTCTAATATTTTTTCCGGACTTAATTCGGTTTTTCAGATTTTTGTTTTACATTCGAACCAAATCCGAACCATTTCTAGTTCAGCTATGTTTTGGAATTTATAAAAAATAGAAATCCGACCTGATACTATAACACCCATCCGATCCAATCTGAAAAATGTCTGGTTCTTAAACCGGTCCTAAACATTCCAATTCGAATAACCCAGCTAGTAAACCTTAATGCCAGCACTAAACACATACCGATTGAAAAGTCAACAAGACCTGCACCTACGGCTACAGCTGAGCCGCTTGAAGATCCTCCAGGGACTCTATCTGCAGCAACTGGATTTACCGGAGTCCCATAGTGTGCATTTTCTCCATTTATACTGTAAATTCATGGCCAAGAAAACGTACAAACCTAAACCATAGTTGCTTTTATAGAATCTAAAATCAGTTTGAATTGAATATTAGTAAGGACCTGTATGCCATTTCATCCATAATGGTAATACCCAAAGAGGTGGCACCAGCTTCCAAGAGAGATGAAACTACAGGAGCTGTGGAAGTAGCTGCTGAGTGTGTCCTTAACCAATCCGGGTTACCAAAACCGGTTACACGTCCTTTCACATCAAAGCTGGTTTAAAACCAAAACATGCTCAAATCAATAAACAGGAAAGGGACAAGAGAAACAAGTTGTGAATATATAGATACTGTACATGTCTTTGATGGCGAAGGTAAGCCCCTTTAGAGAAGGAAAAGAGGAAGAAGGCGTTGGAGAGATTGTAGATTTCTCAATGAAAGCTCCATAATCATTAGTCATCGCCATGGCTTCAGCTTCAGTGTTGAGGTCACAGAAGGTGAATGATGACCAAGTAAAGCTTCTTGTGGATAAAGCTACTCAAACTATCAACAAGGATAAAATGGCCAAGTCATCTTCAACTTGTCTTTTCTTTAATTGTTTCTCCACTAATTTTTTTTGTCTTTTTAATAATTGTTTCACAGATGAAACTGTTTCAAATTTTTTAATGAAATGCTAGGAATCAAACACCTTTTGTGATTTATATTGGAAGACTGAAGAGAGAAGATAAAGATAGGCAATAAAATAACATAAAAATAAAAACCTTGTCAACCACACACTTGTTCCCTTACAGAGTCATAGTTTTATACATTCTTCTGGTTCCATCACTAAATTTCTCCTTAAGAAAGGATTGAATAGACATAAAACAAAACACTTAGGGTTCTTCTACCACACTGATTTGAAATTCTGATATGTTCTTTTCATCTTCTTCTCTAAAGTCTCCTCCTTTCTTAGACAAGACTAAGAACTCTGCAAAACAAAAACAACAATACAAAAAGACTATGAGAGATTGTACTAAAAGTAAAACACTTATCTGACCTTAAAGAAGCTGAGAACACTCACAGTTTAATTCTCCTGGTCAGGTTGATCAGGTCCCTGTTGCTGCCACATTGGTTGACCCATATAGGGATTAGGTGGATAAGCACCACCAGGATTACCCATAACCATCCCCGGGTTCCCAATCGGAGCAGTTCCAGCAGGCAAGTATCCATAAGGGTATCCAGCAGCAGCAGCCTCAGGGACAGTCCCTCTCGGAATACTCCCCAAGACCTCATCCCTAAGATCCTCCCTTGGCACAATATCCACAAGAAAATCAAAGATATCAGTCCTAGTCACAGCAGCTGCTATATCATTCTTCTGCAGAGTCCTCCTCTTGTTCTCCTCAGTGTGGTTCCAAGACCTGAGCGTCAGCTCCAAGATGAACATTTCGCATGCCCTCGCAAACACAACGGGCGCCTCTGCTGAGATCATACGCACGTCCTCGTCTGCCTTCATGATCTTCTTGATCCTAGCGAGGGGGAGACTGTGGTTCTTGAAATCGGTTGTTTTCTCAATCTCTTTGAACTGGTTCTCCCAGAAGACTTGGAGCTGCTGAGCCAGCTGTTGCTGCTGCTGCTGCTGGTGGATCTGGTGGAACCCTAGCTGCCCTTGTGGTGCCGCGGGTCCCACGCTTCCCGCTACGGTGGTGGTCATGGGGTTGGTTTGGTATGGGTTTGAGCCGTAGTTCATGGCTCCGGACTGTGCATGCTCTTGTTGATCCATTCTCTAACGGAAACAAACAATAAAGACATAAACTTTGAATCGTTTAACAGCTTTTTCAACCAACCTAAGAAGATCAAATTTCAAAACTAACCCAGAAGATCTAAAACAGTAGTAAGTGTGAAAGACTATAGCTTTATGTAAATTAAAACAAAGGGTATCAAAATCTACTTATTAGAACTCATAAAGTTAATCACTTTCGATACAGAGATAGCAAAGTTAGAAGCTTTCCTACAACAACCATGTAAAGTAACGATTTTTCAGAGAAATAACGATATTGGGAAAGGAGAGTGATCACCTCTGAGTTGGTTTAGCGAGGAGATTTGGCTGAGGTTGATGGGGGAGAAGGAGCTTTAAGATCTGGTTTATAATCTTTTTGATTTGGGTGTGATTTTTTTTTTAATTAGGGTTTTTGCTTTTTTTGTTTGCCCCTTTTTCGACTTTAACAATGAAGATGACAAAGAGAGTAAGTGGAAAGGGCTTTTAAAAGGTGGGTGTCGTGTCAAGCGTTGGGCTTTTTGTCTAGATTCTTGTAGCCTTGTCAGATGATGCTTTGTTTTCTTTTCATTATTATATTATATTATGTAATGTAATTAATTATTACTCTTTTGACTTAATTAGCAGTTACACACTGTGATTAAGAATATTAAATAAACAGTTACATTCTTGTAAATAGCGGAAAAATATGTTGGAACCTGGAAGTGATATAAAAATAAATAGTTACAGTCGATTTGAATTCAAAAAATTGTTAGAAGGTAACTAAACATTTTATATAGGCCAGATGAACGATTACACAGATTTTTTACAAAAAAGGGAACGTTGGTTTTCTTTTTTTGGTCAAGACAAAAAACGTTGGTTAAACTTACAAATGTGTGGTTTTATACATAAATTATGCATAAATACATTACAATCAATAGAAAAAGGAACCAGTCCACTAAACCAAATGTAGTATGAACTATGAATGTTTGTTTGTTATTAACTTTCTGAAAATAATAGGAATACAATCTTCTCCAAAAAAAATCATATGCATATACTTTGCTCTTCACATGTATTTAACCTATCTATCAGACTTTCCTAATCTGCTTGACAAATGATCACAACAACAACAAAACAATGAAGCTATGGTTGATCCAAGATTTGAGCATATGATCAGGTTGAAAATGTGGCAATGAGCAAACTAACAAACGTGAAGACTACATAGAGTCCTACAAGACAGACCCCCCAGAATCTCGGAACTCGGAATCTAGACCATGTTATAACCAACAGTGATCCCATTAGACTAAGCAACAAGAAGACGAAAGCTATCACAATACCAACATGGAATCCAAGTTGGTAAGCGTTTGGATACACATTAGCTGTTTGCATCACCAAGGCTGTTCCTAGTCCAACGAGCATATTAAACATTGGACCCGCAAAGCAACCGGCCATTGCCATTGCTGGTCGACCAGCTTTTGCAACTGCAACGTCAGCAACAAGATCACCAACAGAGTTTCCCCAAGCAAGGACGGTTAGGCCAAGGAGAGCTGGAGGCAGTTCGAGGAGGGTTCCAAGCGCAGCCAAGCAGTTGAGAAGCTCCCCAGCAATTGTTGATATCCAGAAAACGCTCATTATGAAAGCTACCACGATGACTGGCATTTGCTCGGTTTTGGGAGGTTGTTTTTCGATTGTGAAGTGAAGGAAAGCAAGGGAAGACGTCATGAAGAGAACGACAAGCCAAAGTGGGAGATGGGTGTTTGGGAAGAGGAATGAGATTGGATGGTTTAGTGGTACAAATGAGTTGCAAGCGTACAAAAGGGCAAGAGGACAGAAAACAATGTTGGCAGATCGGTAAAACCTGGACCATTCAGAAGGAGAAGTTTTTGGGATCGTAAGCAACAAAAGAACTGATACAGGAGTCTCCCACATCCTTGATATCTGCAATCACAACAGTAAAAGAAAAATCAGACAATCTGATCAGTCGTAATATCAAGGCTCAAACTTCTTTTCAAACCTATCACCACAGATGCATTATGCAGTCTAACATAGAAAGTAAACTACAGTAACCGGATAAGATCAAAACCGGTGAACTCCTATGATCCAATTTACACATCACAAAGAGTTTTGATTAACGACTCTCGAGCTATCTCCAATCCCTAACTACAAACAAAGCCAGCACGCCACAAACTCACTCTCCCCAACTACTTTGTAACATGTTAGCTCTCTAGCAACTTGAGTGGACGACTGTTACTGAGCTGTTAACGCAGCTACAATCGAGTTGAAACTACTTAAGCTACTTATAATGCGCATTCACTAGACTAAAGTCAAAGACATCAAAGCCTTCAAACACACAATCTAAACTCAACAAGATTTCACTGCTGGTACTTAATATGAAACTACCATAAAATTCCCACCATTGTGATCAACAGAAGAAGCTCACAGGTTAAAGGAGAACACTACCAAATCCAGAACACCACAAACTTATTTTCCCTAAACTGCTTTTTATAACGTTATCTCTCTCTATCTTCCCGAGTCTACGATTGTTCCTAAACCCATACTTAACACAGCTACTACAAATCGAGCTTAAGTTACTTACAATGAACTCAATCACTACAACTACCAAAGAGACTTTTATTATCATAACATCAAAAGCCTTTTGAAACACATTACCATATACAGTTTTCCACCATTGTGATCAAACAAACAAAAGAATCTCAAATCTTAAAGAACAAGACTTTATTATTACCTTCCCATAAAGCCGAAAAATGCCTGAAAACCGACCTTCTTTCTCACCTTTAAAGCTCTCACCACCACCAATCTCACAATCATTACTAACCCTCAACAAATCCTTCTCTTCCTCACTAATACCAACAACCTTCCCTCTAACCTCAACAACACTCCCAAAATCCATCCAAAACACAAACCCAACGAAGAAAACATAAAACCCAACGAACCCAACCGCCTGCCACACAAATATCTCTCCACTCAAATACACACAAAACAAGAAACTCGCCCCAACCAAATAAAACACCACATCCCTCACAAACGACGCCGCGTCGACGCTGAACGGCGCCGCGTGGATCGCCACGAACCCGACGACGAAGGCCGAGACGAACGTCCCCGCGGAGAGTATCGCCCCGAAGCCGGTGCGGTACTGGCCGGCGCGGAGGGCGGCGACGGAGGCGAAGACGTCGGGGGCGCCGTTGCCGAGGGCGAGGAGAGTGACGGCGGCCATGGAGGGGGAGAGGCGGAGGCGGTCGGCGAGTTTGGTGGTGACGGTGGAGAAGTGGGACTGGGCGGTTGTGATGAGGATGTAGAAGTGGAGGAGGATGAGGAGGGAGAGGGTTGGGATTGTGAAGAGGTTGTTTTGGTTGAAGATGCAGAAATGGAGGGTAAAATAGTAATTTTGGTTGTTGTTGTGGTGGTGGCATGAGGTTGTTGAGGTTGTTGGGAGGTTGTTGGAGATGGAGAGGAGGGAGCGGTTAGGAGTTGGGGAGGGTGGAGTGGGAGTGAGGAAGAGGAAGAAGAGGAGAGTGGAGATTAGGGTGAGGGAGAGAGATGTGTTTTTGATTGTTGTTGATGAGATTAGTTTCCATGATGCCATTCAAAGTGTGGGTGTGATTGGAGACGGTTATGTTTCCGATTTGGAGGAGTTGTTACTGGTTTTTTTCATCAGAAAGGTAGCAATGGTTTCGATTTTGTTTTCGATGAGATCTGATTGCTCCATAAAGTTTTTTTTTTTTTTGTTCTTCAGTGTGAAATCAGAATAAAGTTTAGAATAATAAAAGAGTAAAATATCGTTGAAAAACAGACTCCGGTGGACTTTTTTTATTTTTGTTAATACTTGTTCAGTTTTAGCGCGAAAAAAATTAAGGGGCATTCCGAGAATTGAACTCGGGACCTCTCGCACCCTAAGCGAGAATCATACCACTAGACCAAATGCCCTTTTGAATACTGTCACTGGCTTTTCGAAAGGCAAACATAATAATAATATCAGTGGACTGTGGGCATGATATAATCAGCATCACTCTTCATGGTTACTCTCTCATCTAACAAACCAAAATATTCATCGAGATACAATGGAAAACGTTCGGTGTTTCACTATAACCATCAACACGACCCATTTGATAATCATCAATCATGTCTTTAGACATCCCCTAAGACAGCATTTCTTCGTCTGCAGTGTGGTATATCCTTAAAAGTGTACTCTCACATGGTACCTAACTCCATCAGTGTGACTCTTCCACCGTCCAGTTTAACCATTTCATTAGTAACAAACGACTCATGAGATGTCACCCCATGGGACATGATCACTAGGTATTAGCTCACTTGATGGATCCACTTGATTTTTTTTTTGGTCAACGGATCCACTTGATCCATTTTTATATCCACGTCTCTCCTTAAGGACTTCAAGAAACATTTCCAATGAAGTAAAACTCGTAGACAAATAATATCATGTTATCATTTTTCACCCTTGAAAACCAGTAAACTAGTAGACGCTATGAGGGTTTTCTTGTCGTTCACCATTTTTCTCTCTATTTCTTGTTTTAGATTTTATATAAGATTTTGGTTTTTATTGTGGTGTCGGTGGGATCGATGATTGTTATCTCTTTGTCAAACTTGAGAGCCCACCAAAGGAGACCACGATCTCAAGAAGGCGACTTACTTGCTTTATATATGACTAGTTCAAGTTGATGATTTATGGAAAACATACATCATTTCAATTATTAATTACTTAAAAAGAGATTTAGTTGGTACGTTGTAGGTATAATGGAAAAATTGTAATGAAATTTATTTTGCTAAAGAATTGTCTAGTGGTCGATGTGAAACTGGAATGTCTCAGTGTTTACGAAAGACAACTACTACATTGTCTTTCCATCATTTGTAATCTTTCAATCAAAATTGATATTTTATCATTTTCATTTTAAAGTAATTGTAAATATGAGTTGTCTAAACGTGTTGGCTTTTCATTATCAAACAAACTTATATTTAATTTGAGTCTATCATAGGTCAAATTTAAAGCGTATTATTAAGTGATCAAATAGTAAGGGTTGATTAACGTGTTTTGAGTCATTATCATCTTAAGGTGTTTTTGACGTTGCATATTTTTTCGTATATATAGAGTGTCATGTACAAAATTATTGTTGCCATTTTCCCATCCAAAACTCAATCCTTACACACATTTCATTCAAACGTACACCAATCATAATGATCGACTTTTAACCAGTTACAATAATCGATTTATATGATCATTTCCCAAAAAAAAACAAACATTATTGTACAGAGTTGGAGAGCAATGCTTGTATTTCTTCAAGTGATCGACCTTTAGTCTCCGGTACCAGAAAGTATATAAATACAATAGAAAAGGCGGAGACCATTGAGAAGATGAAGAACATTCCTTGAAAAAATTAACAAAAAAAAAAACAATCAGCTACCATTAAAGAACCAATCATAATTGCAATTAATTATTACTATTTCATGCTTATATATAAGTAGTTTTTTTTTTTGCTAAGGTTATATATAAGTAGTTACCTGATGCATTCCACTCTAGCATGAAATTGAAAGTATATGTGATCATCCATCCGAATAACCAATTAGTCACGGTAACTAAGGTTCCAGCTGACACTTTCACATTCATGGGAAATATCTGCAAACAAGTTAAGTTTTGTTAGATCCCAACACACACACAACACACTCCGCACGTGTACTTATATAATAATCTATGATAGAAAGGAGACACTAGTGCAAATCAGTATGATGTATTTTTATAGTTCAAATAAAAAACCAAGGGAAATATTAATGTTGTAGTACCTCAGCCATTATAATCCACGGTAGTCCGCCCATTCCCATCGCAAATGCCACAATGTGACCCTATACATTTCATTAGTTACCAAATAAACTAATCAGCAGTGAAAGAAGATAAATATATCCAATGTAAATTAAAATTATAAGTAAAACATTTGTAATCTGTTTATTCAGTAATTTTTATAAAATAGGGTTATTACCAATACGCCGATGCAAGTAAAGATGGGGGTGAGGTCTGGGAGAATTCCAAATGACTGCTCCACATTTAACAAATTTTGAAGATAATAATTAGCTTAAAAGGTTTCATATTTATATCCACAATGTTTTAATAAGATAGATATTTTATTCACATTTATATGAATATGTCACACTTAAAATTACCTGGAACCCGTAGGAAACACTTAAGAGCAAAGCACTTAAACCCATTGCAGCACAAGAAGCCTGTTCAAATTTATATAAAAGTTAGCTATTTTTAGTAGAATAAAGAATAATTCATATGTAATAATATTTGACTAAATCAAAATAAGTCTAACCATTAGGAGCGTTCTCCTCCCCAGTTTGTCGACTATAATTGTTCCCAACATTGCTTTCGGAACCTACAAATAGTCGAATAGTTTATTCCTTTTTCAGTTTGGAATTTCTCTGGTATCATTAAGTAAATGTTTTTTTATTCCTTGAAAACTTACCATGATCGTGGCTATTACAGATGTGCCAATAGCACTTGGAAATCCTGAAAGTAAAATGGTAAATATTCATTTTTTAGTTTTCTATATAAGTTAATTGGATTGAACTGTTTACACATGAAATGTTCACATTGTCAATTAAAAGTGTTATATATGAAAACTAAGTTACCTCCTTTGTTGAAGAGGCTACTGGCATAATAGGTTACACCCGAGCTCCCACTCAATTGTTGCAAAAACATCAAACCTACTCCGATCTGTATACACATATATGTCATCACTACATAATAACTGATTCACATGCAACTTGACTTTCATGTTTTTTTAGATTGAAAATAATAATATTTCATTAGAAACTATATTTTCTCTTAGCTCGAAAACTTACAAGTAACGGATATGCATATCGTCTCTGAAACAATTCAGCCATTTTAGTTTCACCATCTACTTCAGACATTTCTATGGTATCCTGCACAAGAATTAAAAAAGATTTTAACAACCAATTATATTTAAGTGGTAGTTTTTTTCTTTTTTTTCGAAAATAATTGAAATTTCATACTCTAATTGTGTTTGCTTCACGAGAAATGTCGACGTCAGATCCTCTAAGACGTTGCAAAGCAGATCGACACTCTTTATCCCTACCTTTCTTCGCCTGTCATTTATATAACATGATACTACTTAGGGAGGGAACCAAACAACCATTTTTAAATCTCTTCCAACCAATTTTCAAAACCAGTCATGATTGGTTATATATCCATAGAAACCGAAAACCATAAGCAAATATAAATAAACTTACCAGCCACCTTGGAGACTCGGGAATGAAAAATAAACAAAAAACGTGGAGCACACAAGGCACAAAACCTGAAAACATAAAACACATAATGTTAAAATAATCCAGTGTGAGTTATATTAGTTTTTGATTATTTATCCAAACATAATCTTACCGACTATTGCTAATAATCGCCATGGCAGGAAATTGCCAATAATGAAGAAAAGTGCAATGCCACAATTTTGCATCAGCTGCATTAATAAACAAAAAAAAATGTTATTTATCTAAATATAACACTGGATCAAACCAGGCTGGACCTGTTTGATTAATTTGGTTAGAACTTAAAACTGTGAAATAAATCCAGTTAACGTACTTGGTTGGCGAACACAAACGATCCACGGACATGTTTTGGTGCAATTTCAGCTATATAGACTGGAATCTACATGGACACACAAGTTTGTAATCAGTAATTTACCATTCAAGTAATTTAAATTTGTCATTTTGTGTGGTGAAAAATGAACTTAGGATATAATAAAAATTACCACGTAGCTAAATAAACCAACGCCAATTCCAAGTAACAATCTTCCACAGTCCAGCCACAATGCATCCTTCAAGATATGATTATATATAAAAATATAAGTTAATTAATTCTAAGGTACGTAGAAATAAACAATAAATATATATTTTTAAAAAAGAATAAACAAGGCAAAATGACAAAGAACAAGTAGAAGGTAGAAACAAACCTGAGCCAATGCGACAGCAAGCCAGCCTGTGACACAGAAGGCTTCACAAAACACCATCGTCTGTTTTTCATAAAAGAAGTGGTATAAACCGGTTAAGTAGATAGATTTATAACCGGTCAGACCAAACCAAAATGCGTAATCTGTTTCATTCTTACCCGCTTTCTTCCCAAGACATCAGCAACTTTACCGCTGAATATTGCACCAATCAAACCGCCCAATGTCAAAATCGAACCAAACATTGAGTACTGCATGATCAACAAAGACGGTCAAATTAAAAAGTCAAAACTTACAATTCACTTTATAATTCTAAGTAAAAAAAAACAGAGGAATAATAGTAATAATTTTACCTCTGCAACGGATAGAGATAAATCTTTGGTAATCCCTGATTGCGCACCCGATGAAAAACCGGCCTACAAAACCGATAAATCCAATAGTGAAAACCGGATGGTTTATCTATAAACCGGAATAGAAGAAAAAGAAAAAAAAGATGACTCACTCCACAACCGGTGCAGAAGGAGCCAGAGACGGCAACAAAGGTGCTAAAGAAAACAGTGGCAGTAACACGACATTCACCATCGTCGTTTTGAGCTTTCTTGGTAATTTCTCTGGGGGATTTTCTTGATAATCCAGTTTCAAGAAAAGCTTCTTCGTTTGGGAACTTCCTCTCTCGTATGCTTAAACTCTTCCTCAGTAACCCTTTCTCCATGCTCTTTTGTCTCTCCATTCCAAAAGCTTTTTTTCTTTACTTTCTTTATTTGCTATGAAGAAAAAGATACAATCAAAGTAAGCTGATATAAAAGAAAGTTAGAGGTTTGAGGACTTTGAAGTTTCTTGTGAGGTTCTTACTTATGCAAATTGAGGGTTTGGATATTTGTCTACTAGGACAGTTGAATATTCTGTAACACGTACGTCATAAAATAATTTTTAGTGTGTTTTGTTCAGTGGACTTGGTCGTCTACTCTTTGTCGATCAAACTGTGCTAGCTTAGTATTATATTTGTGTAGTGGTATTTTGTTAATATTGTTAGAAATTTAGAATCAATCGACCCCATAGATTCTGTGAGAGTTGGCGGCTCAAAAAGAAAGATCTCTTTATTGTTTAGAATTTATTTTGCTGATTACTCATTAGATAATAGTAGAAAGGAGTAGTAGTTTTAGTTAGATTCAATCATCTACATTCAATTTGGTTGTGCACAAAAAAAAACATTTAATTTGACTATGGGTCTGATTTTTATTTTCTGTGATAGAATGTATTTTCACATAGATAGTTTTAATATACGTCTCGGGTGAAAAAATATATACGTCTCAATCGTTTTTATGAGTATATATTCATGACAAATAAATGATATTTTCAAATTTTATTTATGTACACACTAAAAGAAAAGTATTTACGGGTTTTCTGTACGAAGAAAAAATAATTGGAACTGTAGACGTTTATGTTGAATAACGTAGTCGTACATTTGTATGCGCAAATAAACCAAAATTATTTGTCCTTATCAACCACTGAAGAATTGAAACGTCGCGACAACTTTGTTTCCCTGGTCGACCATCTTTTGTTTTATTTTATTTTATTTAGTTGGTTGACTATTCTCTATATGTACAGCCAAAGAATGACAACTATAAAGCTGATCCATACATTTCTCGTATAAATAAAATGAAATTGAGCAAAATCTCGACAAATTTGACTGATCTATATTTGAACCAAATTATTAAATTTATACTTTTTATTGCATTGGCGTTCTGTGTGGGTCCTTTATTTCACTGGATATAATAAACAATAGGAAATGAAGGTTCATGTTGGCTTCGTCAGGGAATACATGCATCGTCTTACTCATCTTTTTCAGTATAGAGAAAAGGAGATACCTAAAAGCCTTATCAGAAACCAAAGCATGCATGTTTTTTGTCATCTATTTCACTATAGAGAAAAGGATACCCAAAGGAAGGTTCATGTTGGCTATACTAACCAATATATGCGTGTGTTTTCATCTTTTTCATACTAAAGCAGAAACATAGATCTAAATAAATTAACAATTTGTTTACCAATTAGGTTTGGTTCTTATTGGATGGTATGATATTAAGTATAAGTGAATAACCATAAGTTTACCCCACAAAAATGTAAAAACATAATCATCTCGTCCACACTTTTAGTGGGCACCTACTTTTCCACATAGATGTTTCTTGTGGTCTCCTGATGTGAAGATTCAATTACTGGATGAATATTTAAAGCCTTGTTTTGTACTAATTGAGTCCATTTACAAGCAGTTCCTTCCTTCCAGCTGTATTTCAATTCATTTATACTGTAAACCTAAAAGAAAATCCATAAATTTCTTTTTTTATTGTTGCATGTAGAAAAAAAATCTCAACTCAATTAGAACATATTTATCCCAAGTGCTCAGCAGCTCAGGGGTGCTTAGAAGGAGTCCACAGAAAAGGAAAAACTGAATGTTTAGGGAGGCAATATAAATATCCGATTTTCATTGTTGCTCGGCTTATTCTGCGGGCCCCACAACACGTGGTAATCCGCGAGTAATTTTTTTTTTTTTAATCCGAAAAAACAAAAATATTTTAAACACCCCTTAATAGAATACTGGGATAATTGTGTCTTACGATACTGTCATTAATGTTTTTGACGAGCCTATTAGAATCCATGCAAAAATTTTAGAAAAACAAGTTAGGAAATTACCAAAGGCCATGCGCCTTTTGCAGAACAATAGAAACTACCAAGGCCCTAATCCAAGCGTACTAGATGGGCCGGGCCAGTATTAAGTAATGGCCGACAACAAGAAGCTGCTTCAGTCTGCAGTTAATATGAGTCAGTGCTTTACAAACCTACTCACAATCACAATGGTAGCATGTAATCTATGTCTTAGTGGTACACTTCTGTTTTGCCACATTTTCTCTCTTCCTTACAGAAATAGATTTTTAAGCCCAAACATTAAAGGCCTACTTACTTTTGTCAAGCCATTGAATCAAAACCTATTCATAACTCACTATTTGTACTGAAAATTTTACCAAACTATGCAGTTTTTTTATGCGTATTCAATAAATCTGCCAACTGATTGACTAGCTTGTTGCTAATTAGATATTTTCAAATAGATTTGTTTAACAATTTTACCAATATTTTTAGTTAGTTCATCTTCAACTTGGTTTATTCTTGTAAACTACGTAACATGTTGGACTTAAGAAAAAAGTTTACAATAATGGAATTAAAGTTTTTACTTTTTTATTATCATCTACTAAAACATCTTCATATGAAAGAGGTATCGACCAGTTAAAGATTAGTAAGTGAACTATGAGTGTTCTATACAGACTATTCTTTTTTGTTCCTATACTAATACAGTCTATTCGACAAGCATTTCTAGAATAAACCAAGTTGAAGATGAACTAACTAAAAATTATATCTTTTAAAGTGATCATATATTTATGTTTTACAAATCATGCTGATGCGTGCAACTTGCAAGTTGTTAACTGCAATAGTTTAATTTTGATAAGAATATCGTGTAAAATAGCATTATAGTAATAATATTAATGAACGGAAAAATAGAAATAGTTTTTATTTGTACTAAAAATCGAAATAGTTTTTGTAACAAACAACAACAACAACAACAACAAAAAGACAAGATAGTTAAACCGTCAGTATGATGGTTAGACTATCAAAATCATTATATAATATTTAATTATCAAAAGTGTTGATCTTTATAATTTATGCAAATTATATGTCCTCATCAATTTGTCACAGGTGTGGTTGGAACAGCGATAGCTAAGTTATGTCGAGAGAGTACAAAACTCATTTTTGAATCTTTAAAAGAAAATAATGTGACTTGTTTTTATCAAAAAAGAGTTTAAAAATATAAAATTTATAAGAAATACTCAAATACTCAAATATGGAGCAAATCTTACGTGACAAACGATTCATATTTGCCATAATTTACAGTCGGTCATAATTTTACACTCTAATTCCTTTTTTTCGTAAAGTGAGACTATATTATACAACAAATTGGAGTAGCTGTGTGACACAAAGAGAGAGACAGAGAGATCTAAATTTTTACTTGTTCAAGTGATCATCCCTACTATAATTAATACAAAAACTACTATAAACTTCCCCCACTTGAATCCAAGAAAAAAAAAGAATAACTATGAACATATAAATCTCCATCTCATTGTAGAAAATCTGTAAGAGAAGCTTGTATATCTTCTAGTGTTCTTCCTTTGGTTTCGGGTACCATTGCATAAATAAAAACTATACCCGCAGCGCAGACACTAAAGAAGATCAAGAACGTTCCTGAAAAATAATAAACTTCTAACATTAGATAAAGAATGTAATGAAGTTTTGGTATTTTTTTTTTAATTGACCATATAACATACCTGATGCGTTCCATTCTATCATGAAGTTGAAGGCGAAAGCTATAATCCAACTAAAGGACCAGTTGGCTAAGGTAACAAGAGTCCCAGCTGAAACTTTAACATTCATTGGGAAAATCTGCAAAACCAAAATGTTTTACCGTTTTAGTGATGAAGTTAACGTTGACTTTGAGAAGGAATTTCTAAACAAGTTAATGTTTTTTTTAAACAAGTTAATATTGGTTTATACCTCAGACATCATAATCCATGGTAAGCCTCCCATCCCTACGGCAAATGCAGAGATGAAGCCCTGTTATATATGAAAGTAACATGATGTAAGAATCTAATCAATTTATTTATACAAAGAGCATTGATTGTTTAATGTAGAAAAAAATATTCTATACGTACCACTACACCAATGCATGTTAAAACAGGAGTTAGCTCATAGAGCATGCCATATGTCTGTCCAAGAAAAAAAAAGGTATATATAACAATGTAAATTAAAAGTTTGTACTTGTTTTGGTAAAAGGAATTGTTAATTTTACCCGGAAGCTGAAGGAAAATGCAAGAAGCAAGCAAGAAAGGCACATTCCACTAGAAGATGCCTGTAATTGAAAGATCATTTCATTTGTTGTTAGTAGAAAGCTAAATTTATTTGCTTCATTTCATATTTGATGAGAAAAGATAGCAAAAGTATACCAGTAGAAGCGGCCTTCGTCCCATTTTCTCAACCAAAATCAGACCCAATAAAGCTTTTGGTATCTATAAACAAGAACACATGATGCATAAGACTTTTTTTGAAGTGTAGTCCTTGGAAGTTTTTTTTGAAGAAACTATGTGCAAAGACATACCATGATAGCTGCAAGAATCATTGAGCCAATGTTGCTTGGAAATCCTATCAAGAGTAATTAAATTTTTTTTACTCACAAATGGAGACAAGTCCATTATTGTTACGTATGGTACAGAGTTTGTCTTACCTCCTTTATCAAATACGCTACCAACATATAACATAACCCCTGCGCTTCCGGAAAGCTGTTGTAGAAGCATTAGCCCCACACCAATCTGAAAAACAAAAAAAGTGTCATAAACTTTTAGTAAGCGGCGAAAGAGGACAAAAACTGACATCTTCACCACAAAAGGTTTTAGAATAACTTACAACAAGAGATGGAGCATATCTCCTCTGGAATAAATCCATAATCCGAGACTTAGGTCCTTGATCAAACAACAACATGGTTTCCTACAGTTTCAAATTATAAAGATTTGCTTGTTATTTGTTAGTCAAGTTTTGATTTGAAACAATAAGGTTTGAAAAAAAAGAGTTGTAATACTTTGATAGCGTTGGCTTCTTCAGAGACATCAGCTTCATCTCCACGGAGAAGCTGCAATGAAGCTTTACATTCTTTTTCACGTCCCCATTTTCCCTACGTATCATTTAAACCACATTGAAAACTATCACATCACATTATTAAAAAAACTTAGTGTTTATTAAGCTCTAAGCATACCAGTAATCTAGGGGACTCTGGAATGAAGAACAAAGTCACAACTTGCAAAGCACATGGAATTAAACCTGAAAAAGAAACCAATATAACTTAAACTATTCTTCTTCTTCCATCACCAAAATTTGCTAGTAAAAGATAAAAATTAAGCTTACCGATTAAAGCCAAATTACGCCAATGAACAAAGTTTCCAATGACATAGTATAATGACAACCCACAACTTTGCATCAGCTGTAACAACAGTTAGGCAATTTTAAGATCATTAGTATCAGAATATTTGCTAGCTAAATTATTATTCCCTGATTATTCTTAGATTACCTGATTAGCAAATACAAAGGCTCCTCTAACATGTTTTGGTGTTATTTCAGCGATATAAACTGGTATCTGGTTGCACCAAAGTTAACATAAAGTCTCAGTTTACACTTTAAATTAAGAAAAAGACAAAATGTAGAAAAAAAAAAAGACAAAATGTTAATCAATAAAGAGAGTGAAAAATAATTACCACATAGCTGAATAAACCAACTGCAAATCCAGTGGAAAACCTTCCAGCATCTAGCCAAATTGTGTCCTGAGAAAATGCTATTGCAAGCCAACCGGCTATGCAGAAAACTTGAGCAAACCACATTGTCTGTTTTTTAAGAACAAAGACAATATCAGTACAATAACTTTTTTCACCACATATAGTAAATAAATTACCCCTTTTCTTCCAATGAGATCTGAGACTTTCCCACTAAAGATGGCACCAAACATGGCTCCAAAAGTCATTAGTGACCCAAACATGGAGTACTGAAGTAGTTAAAAAAAGAGACAAATTTGAGTATAACATGTAAAGAGTGAGACTTTGAGTGAAACAGAGTCATGGAATTGGTTTTGGTTTTCTTACTTGTGCAACAGAGAGACCTAAATCTGTTGTGATCCCTGTTTGAGCAACTGATGAATAACCTGCCTGTAACATCATATAAATTAATAAAACAATGAATCACATAACTTATGAATACAAAGGAAGGAACAAGAGATTTTGACTAACCGCACAACCAAAGCAGAAAGAGCCACAAACAGATACAAAGGTGCTGAAGAGCACAACCGCAGTGATACGACACTCGTTGATGTCGTTTCTGTTCTTGTTCAGTAACAACCCTGCTTCAAGGCTTCTTTGGTCCTCCGACATTGTCATCTTGAGTTTCTTGATCAGGATGTGGATAAGGGTTTCTGGAGAATTTGCAAAAATATGCTTTTTGGATTGCTTTATTGGCTTGGATTTGAAGACTAATAAGTCGAAAAGAAAAGGTCATTTATATTCCTTGAATAGTGGAGCGAGGAGAGCCAAAGGTCAGCTTTCATCTTTTCTTTCGTGTCACGTTTCGTTTTCGGTTTTAATTAAATTCTATTTATTTTTTTATTATTTGAAGTTTTGAACTATTCTTGAAGACTTTTGTTAGCTGTTGGCGTATGATTTTTAAAGTACGTGATTAATTATCTTTATCATTTTGTTTTTTAAGACATGTTATCTATCACCTTTGATAATGGTCTCTACCAGAATCAAAAGGTAATATAGGGAACTTTTGTGATGAATTCATATAGTATGTGATAGTGTCTAGATACACTTACGAACGTATATTGCATAAACTAAGTAGCTACTATTGTTATAGTTTTATAATCAATTATGGAGTATTTAATAAAATTTAACTATCCATAAATATATAATCTGTTTGGATATATATGTAGCAGTTAGAATAATCTACACTTGTTTCCATATAGTCGTTTTAAGAAGAATTTTTTTTTCTTTTCACAACTCTCGTTTAAGAGTTCCATCTTAAGATTTTTTTTTTTTCAAAATACATGATTTGGCACCATAAACCAAAACCAAAATACATGTTTTGAATTACTTAATCGCATGCAAATGAATTGGTGAAATCGTCAATTTCTAGTAAAAATTATGAAAATAATTGCAATAATCATTTATTTTGTAAATGTAGTATATATTAATATACATAATGGCTCTCTTAACCACCGTTTTAAAAAAGTCAAAAACTCACTTGTCGTATATTATATAATTGTTGACATGAAAAAAGAGTAGATATCATACTTGTTAGTTGTTACGTGATGCATCAACTCACAATAAATAAAAAAATACCTCCTACGTGGTTTTTTGTTTTTGTTTTTGAAACACACCTCCTACGTGGTTAATCAGTTGATCACGAACTGAGATGAGTTGTCACATTTAATATTTTCATGCAATGGGAAACGCGTTGATAGGAGTAAGAGGTTTGAAGTTTGCATAAAAAAGCCGTGTACGCTATCGATTACGCTCACCCATATCTCTCGCATTTCAAATGAAGACTTATTGTCATATCTAATTTGATACCCACATACTGTACTTTGATTGCTTATCTTGGATACAAGAAGATCAGAAAACCATCAACAACCTTTGAAATTTCACGGGAGAAAAAGGAATATATTGCCCTATCTCATTATATCTTTAAAAGGAAATTTACACGTAATGATAGGTGTGTGTTCAAAAAGAAAAGGGTAATGTTAGGTAGGGTTTTAGCAAAATAATAAATTTAAAATGTTAAATTTAAAATTTAACATTTAACCAAAAAAAAAAAAAAATAAGAAATTTAAGAATGGTCTTAAAAGAGTAGTAGCTAGAGAGCGATGTTTATTTTGTAGTCTTGTAACTGGTATGTGGCTAGGACTGTGTGGAACATCTATTCAACAAACTATATACAACGTTGGTACGTAACGTTGTTTGTCAATTGTCACCGTCATGTTTTCTGTAGCGGTGAAGCCGCAGGTTGAAAGCATTGTAGAAAAATGCGTTACAATTTTGTGAGAGTGCTGTTCATAACGAAATAAAATATTAGTTTTAAACTTTTAATTTTTTAAAAGTTAATATATATAAATTAATATTTTAACTCAACTGTTTGGACCCTAAAATTTCAAAATCAGTCTTGATTAAATAGATACGATGTAAATTTTATTTTCATAAAAGATTAGATCATTGATATATAAGTTATAAATCAGAAAGTCTTAAGCTCGGCCCTACCACTTCTTGAGGGTCATAATCCAAAATATATATATCAGGATCATTTACTTAGACAATCATACAATGAACACTTCATAAGAGTAGCGTGGATATCGCATGTGAGAGTTAATTGAGTAAATGAAAGTCTTAGTATTTTAAAAGACGATGAATTGTTGAGTGGAACTTATCACCTCCTGACACATAAACTGAGAAAAGTCAAAGACCGAGCTAGTAACAAGCTTACAAGTGTATTATGTTGAAATGCCGTAATTGAGTATAGTATGTTGTCACTGCTAGCTGGTGATTGTGTTGTAAGGAATGCAGCTATAACCAGCAGTTATATAATTTTTGTTTGGAAAAGAAGGGTTCACACTCACATCACGCATACTCTTGATTTAGTATTTTAATTTCCTATCAAGCTCTGAGTTTGCATTGAGATAAAGATTCAAAAAATTTCATATTGATAATCTTTTTTTTATTGAAAAATTCAGGGTACGATCATATTGATAATCAATACTATAAGTTAATATTGTTTTCTGTTAAAATATTAATGAGAGAAAGAATAAGTAGTAGCAACTAAAATAAAATATGAAAATGCTGATTCTTATTCAGTGATAAATGTGACAAAGAAGGTTATTGAATCGTGTCTTTAAGCATCTAAATGTTGGGATTCTATAATGTCTGGCCTACTTTTACTGACTCCTTTTAAGATCTACAAATATAGCTCCATGTTACATGCAACGAAGAGAGTGGGAACCCCACAAACAAGTTTTATATATATATATATATTGGCCTAACATCCTGTCTTCTTCGAAGTTAATGCCACCGTACTAAACTAAATATGTTTTTATTTTGGACTGAAGTGAAGTGCATTGTGATAATATTTCCACTTCTTGTCTGTGTTGTGCCTGTTTTAAAAGATTCTCGAAATCGAAAACTAAGGCTAGATCTTAACCTTCGATTCTGAAAAAAAAATGAAAAAGATTGTTTTGTCATGAGTTATAAACTTATAATGAGGTATTTAGATAGTCCTAGACTCCTAGGGTTAATTTTTGTTATACAAAGAAAGACATAGTCACAAAGGAGTTAAAACTGGTATGCTAAAATGAAATGATTTTATTGGGTTTGTTTGAACGTCACTAGAAGACTGTACAGTCATGGGAGTGGATAGAATAGTGGAAATGTTATTATATAAATGTCAATGAAGAACTAGTGAGGAGAATATGACAGTGGAAGATAAGAACTGTGACCTCATGAGTGTTGAGATATGGACGGACTACCATGCGGTGGTACTGTGATCTCATGAATGTTGAGATACAAACTTCTTAAACATTAAATGTCTTAGTGCTTTTAAGTTATATGCCTGAAATATAAACCTTTTAAAAAAAAATTCTTTTACTTTCTAGACTAAAAAGGATCAAAAGATTGAGTACATCTCAAGAATACCCTTTAGATCATCATATACAAACCGGAAGCCTAAACCGGTTAGTACAAAAAAATTGACTTATATGCTATCTCCTTTTTTGTTAGTGGGATTCATACTTTTGCTACCAACCATGTGCTGAGTTTCTAAGCCATCAGATATCACCATGCCTCAGGAGGCATTGACCAAAACAAACCCTGTGGCCCAACACCTTCCTCCACTGGCAATGAACCGGTCCCAGCTTGCGTTTCATTGCTACCATTCGGATAGCTTGGATGCTCCAAGAATGCTTGAATTTCATCAGCTAGATTATAGTTAGCTGCTGGTTGAGGCTGAGGAAGTGTATGAACATGAGTCTGAACCGGGACAGAACTGTAACTTGTTGGCTGAGGCGGGGCAAGTGCTTGAACATGAGTCTGAACCGGGATAGAACTGTAATTTGTTGGCTGAGGCGGAGCAAGTGCTTGCACTTGTGTCTGAACTGGCCTGGTAGGTCGAATGATCAAGTGTTCATACCCCGTGGAGCTGGGCGTTAGGCTGCCTCGCATTCGGGTCAGTGGGCGCAAACCTGCACTGTTAGCAGATGTCATATTCAACTGTTGCACTGCGCCAACAGGATTCAATCTTTGAACAGGTCTTGGAATTGGTGTTTGCATGAGTCTCTGGTAAGTGATCCCTCCATAGTTGGCTGCTAAATTTTGGTGATGTGTAATGCCAGATGGGATTGGTCTTTCCTGTGCAGGGGACAAGCTCCTGGACCTCCTGGTGTGAAGCCTCTGATTCTGATAACAATGAGCACATAATATATTCAGAGTCGGTTTAAAAAAGCAAGTTATGTATAGGAGAGGTTAAAGATGACAAACCTGCATTGCATATTGATGATGCAACGGAGGAGGCATGGGTGGCAACTGAGTTTGAGTTATGCCATTATCATACATCTGGTTGTTCCATCCAGAACCTCTTCCTAGAGAATGTCCAAGGGGCGTAACATGTGACCCTTGAAATTGAGAAGACTGAGCAGTAGGCATTGGTATGTGAAAGCTGGATGTATTAGTAGCTAATCTATTTTGTGGAGATGAGGTTGGTAAGAATGGCATGTGTACGACTTCTCTTGCTGCTGAATCTTGAGTGTTTACTACTTGCGGAAAGTTCATGAACCGTTGCTGCCCATCAAAAACATTCAAAGCTTGTGGCAACTGTGGCAGCGCGTCAAATGAAGCAGAAGACTGGTTGAGTATAGGATAACCCATCACAGGACTAATATCGGATAGACAACGCTTCTTTTCGTTGATCTGAGTGACTTCGGATGTTTCCATACCATTGTCATCACTGGTAAGATCCAAAACAGCTGGCCTCAAGTCCTGGAAGCTACTTGGGTCTCCGTGTTCATGAGTGGTTTCTGGCACAGCTTCCGCATTCCCATCGTCCTCTGCTACAACACTCCATGATCCATCAGCAGCGATCACCACATCAGTGGCATTACAACCCACCTCTTCTAGAATCTGTGGAAAGTAGACAAGGTTGTTTAACAAGTGTAGGAAGTGAAAAGATATAGAAGAACCAAGCAACAGTAGAAAGTTACTTGCCTTAATCATGCTTTGATCTAAACGGATGTCAGTATAGCAGAGAGGCTGATTGCAATGAGGGCAGCGCCATGATGGTATCCTCGTGTTTATTTCGACATAGTTCCAGTAATCAAAACACTACAACACAAAGTAACAATATCACAACAGAGAAGAAGGGATGTTCCTAGCATCAGCGAAGCATACAATAGCCTTGAAAGCAATGTATTAATGAAATAGTTATTAAACGCTGCAAACACAAGAATGATACTATCACTTATACAGAACAGAAATTGTGTCACCTGAAGATGTTTGCAGACGTGACCCTTCACAGGTAGCTTGATACGAGTGCGGCTGTTAAAATGGTGATGAAATTAATCATTAATGTTAGGTAATTGTGAAAGTAACTTCCTAAGACATAAAGCTAGTAAACATCCCCAGGTACCTGATAGGACAGCTGAGAGAAATCCTTGATGGTCCCTCGATTATGTCAGAATCTACAGATAAAAATTGAAAAAGACAAACAATGGTTGATCTAAGAGAAGAGTTCTCAGGAAACAAAAGTATGAATGCAAATGACTACATGATGTAATGACCATTGTGGAAATAGTGAGACCTTATTTTACCTGAATTTGATACAATGACTTCAGATTGAACATAATCTTTCAGCGATGGATTCACAGGCAGTGGTATCTTATCCAATAAGGCAATAACAATGAAGTAACTACCTGAGCAAACGGGTATTTGTCAATAATCAGTGAAAATGAGGAGGCGAAATAAGGATGATTAATAAACTATTAACTGGAAAGAAACCTCCAAAGCAGCCAATGGTTTGCAGAAGATTTGCTCCAAGGTTGAGCAGGGCAGTAACATCTGTTGGACACTGCGGCCCAGGCTCCTGAAAAAGATAATTACAATTAAGAAAACAATTACTTGTAAACATATCCGAGAAACTAAAGAAATGCACAGACCATTGCGTTGCAATATCTCTTTTCAACGCCTTTTCCATTCAACAAAAAGCTGAAATTTCACAAAACAGCCAATGTTAGTTAACATACAGAAACTGGTTCCCAAATGCTGAAGGTAAAAAGGGAAAGCAATCCAAACGCACCTGACTTCTTGTGGATGTATAAGACAACTAGATTTGCTTATGTCCTCTGTCCGGAAAACAAATAATCCCTGAAGAGCAAGCAAAATTCCCATCATAAACCATTGAACATACTAAGCGGGTAACGATTCAAAAATATAAAAATGATGAAGTGACATGATCAGCAAAGCCTAAACTTAAGCGTAAACTAGCAGAGTATAACATAAATTCCAATACTTACTACTTTGGCTTGGGGAGAATGTTGCAGCATCTTCGTTGAAATATGGAAGTCCTTGACCAACATGTTTGATTCTGCCTGCCAGATGAGAAAAAAAAAAAGCTAACTTAAAGCACACATTCACAAGGCGCTTAGAACTAAAAAAAAAAGAAAGTTACCGTGGCTTCAGAAGAAAAAAGAATATGCACCAGCTTCAAAAACGGATAGAACCTACACACATAAAAAAAGGAGAATACTCAAAATAAACCAACGTTTCAATCTTAGCGATCAAGTAGATGAGAACACACAAGACTGCCTAAGAAACTTTCATCAACTCAATTCCCATAAGCTAAAAAAAAATAAGAGTAAAAACTGCAGCCTACCTCTCCATGAGCTGTGGAATTAGAGTGATGGGACCATTGACACTAGAGGCAACGTCTTCATGACTAGTGAAACCCTTCAACATCTGCCCAACAAGGAAAGCACCACTAGTAAAAATCAAAAATCCTAAACATTCTCAAAAATCAAAACTTCATCTGGGAAACTACACATACCGAGTCCACCAGACCCAACAAGTGCTGAGACTCTTTCTCCTGGAACCATCCAAGCCGACAAGCACTCTGTGCAAAAAGAAAAAAACATAAACACAGTATTATATACTACAAGTAACTTACCTACACATGACCCAATACAACTAAATCAGTAAACTTTTTTAACCTTGACTGAGATCATAAGCGTCATTATCACAGCCTTTGTTTGATCATTACATCTTTGTTGACACACCTGCACCACATAACACCAATATGACCCCAAAGGAAGAAGAATCAACTTGAAAGATACAAACTTTATTTAACCAAAAAAAAAAAAAGATTGAAACTTTATGAGAAAAAAGAAACAGAGAAGACGAACGTGATTAAGGGTTACAGCAAGAGCTTGAGAGTCCACAGGAACTTTATCTTTCCCAATAGCAGCATCGATTCGACTAACAATCCACAAAAAAAAAGTTCAAACCTTTAGGGAATTAACTGAAAATGTTGATTCAATGTTAGTTAAAAGAGAGATTTTTTTACTTAGCGAGAGAGAAGCAGTAAGCGTGAAACTCCTTGCTGTCTACATCAGTTCGATGGTTTAACCTAAAAACATAATGAGATAATGTTCGTTAATTCCTTCTTTAATAGAAACTATTAATTAATACTTAAAACAAATCAGAACAAATGAAAAAGTCAAAACGACAGATAATTAAAAATTAAGAGTAAACATTGGTATGAGGAAGAGGAGAAGACCTAGAACTCGGAGGAAACACCATTGATGAATCTTTGACGATTCTTCTTTCTTTAGTCTTCTCCGACAAGTTTCGGTGTCTGGAGAATTTATCCAAAAACTGACAAGAGACAGCCGGTTAGCAGTAACTTATAGTGTTTTATAGTTTGCAGTTCACTCCTCTATGTTTTGTAATTTTTTAAAGTTACCCCTTGCAGTAGTTTACTCCTCAAAGGTTTATAATATCTTATTAGGATCCTTAGTGCACCCTCATCAAGTGTTCAGATGGGGTTCACACGCTTTTCAAAAAAAAAAAAATTAAATAGTGAATAATAATGAATCTGCCCCTTAAGAGTTCTCTGCAGTGAATCCGGTTCACTACTATAGCGCGGACTCCGAGACATATTTGCGGCCCGCAATTCGTCTATTTTTCATTGATGTGGATGCTCTACACTTCTGATTTTTTATAATATTATCAGCCTTCTTTTGTCATTAAGTTAATAATTCAAAAATTTGTATCAATTTACTCGCTCCATATACAAAGGTATGATGTTTTTTTTCTTTTTCTTGTATTAAAAAAATTGATGTTCTATCTTTAATTAATATTCTATCCGTTTTATTTTAGTTGTCATTTATTTATTTTTTATACAGATTAAAAAAAATTTTTTTTGCATGTTTTCAAAATAAAAACACATTTATCTATACACCTAACCATATTTCAATCAATGAAAAAATAGAATGACATTGAAAATCAATAAACTTTCTATTGAAATTATAAACAACACTTATTTTGAAACAAAAAAATTTCCTCTAAAATAATATATAATTTGAAATGGAGAGAGTACATTTTACTTTAAAAATAAAATATAAACCAATATTTAAAGATATAAATAGTTTGATTTTGTTGGAAATCAAATAAAAAAATTAAAGTAATTAAAATTACAACCAAAATGTAATACAGAAAAACAAATATTTAATTTTTCTTAATATGCCTGAACAACCTTATACATCAAACATTTTTATCTATGGGGAGTATAACATATGTCATCAAACAAGAATAATGAGTGTTTTTGAAAAATCAAATAAAATTTGTATTATTGAACTAATTAATGATCTGTAATTTTTGTGGAACTTCTATTTATTTAGTTTGAATATGCTATTATTCATTTAAGATATAATTATTAAATTTAAGTTCCATTCATAATAAATTTTCAGAGATTCAAAAGTTAAGTAAATAAATACAATAACACCAATTTTCCATATACAAGCTGGCAATACGCGTGATGCCATTACAAAAACCAATAAGAGTAAAAATTTCCCGCCTATAAAATACCAAAAGCCCTGAGTGGCACTCAACAGTCGATCATCTTTCTCACTTCTCAGTCTTTTTACTCTCCACTTTCATGTCTACGAAAATTTCAAAAGAGAAGATGAGTACAGGCACGACCAAAGGTGGAAGAGGAAAAGGAAAGTCCACCAAGTCCGTTTCACGTTCTTCCAAGGCAGGTCTTGCGTTCCCCGTGGGAAGAATCGCTAGGTTCCTCAGGACAGGAAAATACGCTGAACGTATCGGTTCTGGTGCTCCTGTCTATCTAGCTGCCGTTCTTGAGTACCTAGCCGCCGAGGTATAAAATGATTTTAGTGGTAGGTTTTGGAGTCTTGTCTGTTTTGAAATCTCTCTTGTACTGATTGGATTTGGTTCTGACAGGTGTTGGAGTTAGCTGGAAATGCAGCGAGGCATAACAAGAAGACACGTATTGTACCGAGACACATTAAGCTTGCAGTGGGGAACGATGAGGAGCTGAGTAAGCTTCTGGGATCTGTGACTATTTCTAATGGTGGTATTTTGCCGCTCATTCATCGTGCCCTTTTCCCTGCCAAGGTTGGAAAGAACAATGGAGATATTGGTTCTGCTTCTCAAGAGTTCTGAGTTCCACCTCATTGTAGTAAATCGTATTTGGTTGCACCTATGTTTCAATGTCGGAATGATATTAAATAATGCAACATGGTTTTGATTCAATATCTGTGTCAGTATTGACAAAAGATGTTAGATGATCAATGTGGGGATGTAGCTCAAATGGTAGAGCGCTCGCTTTGCATGCGAGAGGTACAGGGTTCGATACCCTGCATCTCCATTTTTTCATTTTTTATGGCTAATATTTCAAAGCCGACATCAATACCTACATCTCCGCTCAAATGGTAGAGCGCTCGCTTTGCATGCATTGTTCGGTCGTGATTAGACATTTCTTTTGATATGATATCTTTGTTTGATTTTAGGAATTAAAGCTTCATTTGTGGGGACTAAAAGTTGTACTTACAGTTCCTAATACACGATCTAGATTTGCATAAAGGTTTGTAACACGACATTTCATACTTGTAACTTCAGTAATCTTCGCGCAAGTTGTGACATATTTATATTTTGTCATAGGCAATTTTTAATATACCAAGTATCCTAGCAACTCCAAACTTGTTCTCCATCCCAAGTAAATAAAGAGTAACTAATAACATGCGAAAACAGAAGATGTAATCTAAAGATAGGCTACTGGTTAGCTCAAATCGCAGGAGCTCCCACCGGATTAATATTTCTGCAACGGACGTAGCTCAAAAACTGGCCAGGAAGTTCTTCTAGAAGTGCTTGCACCACAGACACTTGTCCACCTGCACCAACCAAACTCAATTCAACACAAGATGCAAATCATTACGTAAACATATGAATCAATGTAATTTACTCACTGTGGACTTCTTTCATTGGCACAAACTGAACAATGTCCCTTGTAGCTACCCGACCAGTGGAACTCTCTAACCGGCGACCTTTGTCAGCATCAAGAAACTAAAACAACAAATATACCAAGGACACGTTAAATTTAACTAAAATAGAACAAAGATAAAGTTTTAACTAAACAAAACAACAAATCTACCTCCATTTGTGTGAAGTCTGTGTTACCCACACCGACGATAAGAACTGACAATGGGAGATCAGAAGCTCTCACTAATGCATCTATTGTACCAGCCATATCTGTCAAGACTCCATCCTGTTCCAAGCAAACAATCATTAGTTTATGCTCAAAGTAATCATATAAAAATGTTTTTTCAGTCTCTTACCGTGATGATTAGAAGCACAAAGTACTTGGGACTGTTTTGTGAGAGTGACTGTGAAGCGGTATGAGCAGCCTTGTCGACCACGTGGCTGAACAGAGTTGGTCCCGCTAGAGGAACGTTGGTAAGGGCATTTGAATAAGCTGACATGATTCCTTCAACTCCAACAACCTGAGATGTAAAAAAGGGAATACAAAGCTCAGTGATACTTTTATAATATAGTTTCAATTTATTATCATGGTTCTGTAGATTTTGTAATGATAAACACTAGTCCAACTATAATCAGTTTTTGTCTCGTAAGTTACCTCATCACCAAATGAAGCTCCATTCAAGTTAAAAGCATGGGACACGTGGCCATCCGCTGTTCTTCCTCCAAAGCCCCAAGCAGGAAAACGCCTATCAGAATCATAAAACTGGATGACCTCTCCTACTTCCATGATAGCCTGGAAAAGAAACCATGTTTATAGATACAGTGGATCAAGTAAATCACATAGAGAGAGAGAAACGATAATGAGAAACAAATGGTACCTTCTGATATGAGTTTAATCTGCCTGATGGATCGTTATAGTGCAAAGAACTGGGGGTTCGGGGATCACCATTTGAAGCTGCAAGACAAAACATCAAATCTTAAAACTCAAGGTTTTTCTAAGATGATAATATATGCATATGAAGGAGAAGAAGGTGCATCACCAGTGAAGTCAACTGCAACCATGAAATTAAGCTCAAAGCCGCTGGATATGTAATCAAGAAAACTGTATTGCACTTTTTCCACAAAATGATCCACAATGAGCTGGCCTTTCAGAACCTACAGAATCCCGACAATTTTTTTCTTTAAGAAAACAGATGCAAATAACTACCTTAAGATTTTACATAAAATGGTAGGAGTAAGCACCTTGTTGCGACCGTGACTTGTGGATGGATAGACAAAGTTTATAGCCTCTCTTTGGTGACAAAGTCTCTCTAATTCAGCTATAGACTTCTCTGTCCTCCTGCGAGGATCAGTACAATTGTCAGTAACAATAAATCTGTATATGACCTTGTAGAAGAGTAAGAAAGTTACCCAATAAGCTCATGATTCCCACTGGTATTGAAATCTAAGCACTCGATGAGCAATGGGGTATCCTGCATAGACAAAATAAACAAGTTAACATAATGATGAAATCAAAAAATGATTGAAACACATTAAGACCATTCGCTTACTTTGCTTCCAAATTGTTGCATAGTCAGGCATACAGGCTTCCAAATTGGGTTGAGGTTGTTGTCAACTACCTCCGTCTTACATACTGGAACTACTATACTGTTCTCAACTAACCTTGAGATTCTTAAAAACGGATCCTAGAAAGAGAAAATAAAACAAACTTAATATCGTTATGGAACAAGACAAGGTAGAATGTTTAGCTTTGCACTTACACTCTTCGAGAATAAGTCTTTATTATCCAAATTGACAGAGCGGAGATTCATCTCGACAACAGTTTTTGAAGCAATGGTTTCTTCAGCTTGGAGAGAAAGTGTTCCCAACTTTCTAGTCACACCAGCTCCGACATTACCATGAAGGTTTATTGTCATGGACCGGTTAGGTTTTGTCATGACCTGGTGACGGGAAACATGATTAATTTAGAAAAATAATATGATCAGAAGCTAATGACCGAACACAACAACAAACCCATGAAGTACTAGCAATGTCTAATCATTAAATAAATTTACCTCGGACAAAACACACGTGGCTTCTCCCAAGTAATCTTGCTCCTTTAGCTTTAACGTCTGCAGAGGTTTACAGTATGTTGATACAATAACTGAGGTGCAACATTCATAATCAAAAGGCAATTGATGAACTCTATTGTCAATGAAAATATTACCTTTACAGGCACATTGTGATATCTAGTATCGACATCAAACACGTGAAAACTGAAAACAAAAAAAAAGATATCTGTAAGTTAAACCATGTGAGTAATTCATCATAAAAGAATTGTTTAGAGTATCATACACTAATGTCTGAACAGTTTCAAACTGAAAAGAGACGGTAATCTTCTCAATCCATTTTGGATTCAAGCTATTCAGTATGACTTCAGTGCGGCCAATTTCCTCAAGCTTTCCATCCTTTTTCCTCAGATACATGACAGCCATTGGGTCACTCTACACAGAAAGACATTTCATGAGATACAAAAACCACTTCTTAAATGCATAGTGAAAGCGCATGGAAACGAGATGAACATATCCAAAAAGTTAAAACTAGTAGTAGTATGAAATGAAAAGAGATTCTGTATCAAAAAAAATATTGATCAATAAATGGAAAAAGGCATACCTTAGATGCGATGTCTCTGTCAATCAAGTTTGAAGCCGACAAAGATAACTGCAAAACCCAATTGAATAATGTTTAAACACAACTCGAGAGTACGTAAGGAAGCAATAATATACCATGAGTCTGAAGGTGCTTAAGATGCAGTAAAAAGCAACAGTCAAGTTAATAGCATCATTGTCATAGCTCAAAACTATCATCAACTAGCAAATTACAAAACGATAAGCCATAAGAGAACCAAACTGAAAAGACAAGAGTGTTGCAGAGGATTGTTTTTTTTTATCAAATATTAAAATGTTGTAATTGAAGAAAGTTGCAGAGCCTAGTAAAAAGGCTCCTTCTTGTGTTCTAATTTCATTGCAATTTACAACAGACCAACAGAGATTGACAAGTACCCAACTTAAAAGTCATTGCAGCGTGTGGGTACTTTTCCCAGAAAGCCAAACACTCTTCTCCACATAATAATATTCTATAATCTAAACCCCACCACCAAACAATAAAAGACACAACAGAGAAAAACATGGACAAAGACTAAAGACTCAAGACAACAAGTCAAATGGTTGGCTCCATTAGAAAAATACAAGACATGGAAGTTAGAATATTTTATCCACAATCCACTTGTACTATAATATATAAAGATCCCAAACAAAAATCGAGGAATTGGTAAATGTTTTTTTTTTATTTCTCTTCAAATTTAGCAATATTCTAATCACAAATTGCGATCTATATACACACAACAGAGGATTAAAGACACAAAACTAAACCCTAGTTTTTTGACAACGATTTACCTCAATCTGAGAGAAGAGAGGATATTGACCACGAGATCTGAAGAAGAAATCAACGGCGTCGTTTTGCGCCGCATTGTTTGTTGTGGTCGACGTGGGTCTCTGCTGGACCCCTCCGATGGCTTGTTTGCCTCCTGCCACATCACCGCTTAAACAATTCCCCATTCTCTCTAGCTAGATTCAATCTCAAGCTTCCTCTTCACTATTCAGATTATTACTTAACCCTAGAATCCACAACGCAGCAGATTATATTATCTACTGTCTCCTTCCCTTCTTCCTCTATATTTATATCAAAATATATGCGCGTTAGTAAGAAAAAAAGAAAAAGAAAAGGAAAACGTTATGACTTTGTAAAAATCAAAGGATATTTAATTAAATTTATTTAAAAGAAGATACATCCAGAAATCAACAAAAAGAAAGAATAAAAAGATATTTACAAGAAATTTTCAAGTCATCAACCAAAAAAGGAAATTAAGGACCTTCCTGGTCAAAAAACTGGTTTCCATAAAAAGCAAAACTTTCTTTTTTTAGTAGTTGTTTAAAAGAGAGACGCGGATTCACTTTTAAGGAAACTTTTCTTGATTATTATTAAATGAGAATTTTCAATTTCATAGGAAAGTGTAGAGGAAATGAACAAGACTCGCTTGCTTGTGACCTAAGTTTCCATAATAGATTTTTTTTATCAAACGTTCAACGCAAGAACCAAACATGATTTTGATATCTAATCAAGATAGATTTTGACGTCGATTCCGTTATCAATAAGAGACTGAACAACAGCTCTGATTTTTCCTTCGAACTTGTCTTGGTCTCGTGGCGTGTAAGAAGCTGTGTACACATCAGCCTCTTTTGCACGTTCGGATAAGATCCTCCCTATGGACATACACGCTGGGATGTCGCATCTTGACCTCAAAACAGCTTTAACGTCTTTAGAGTTTGTTCCTGCGACAGCAACTTGTTTGCATGTGACACGGTGGGTGAGAGATGCTGAGACGAAACGCTTTGAGATGAAGACGTCGAGTGTGAAGGGCTCCATGTATGCGACTGTTCGTTGCTTGAAGGAGACGTGTTTGTCTGGGTTTTTCGATTTTTTTTCTTTTTGGTATGTGTATGGTCGGCTTGTGTCGTCGTCTACGTAGTCTTCTACGCCGAAGAAGCTTCTTGGGGCAAGATCAGTCTGTCCAAAATGGGTAAAAAGCTTCAGAGATCAAATACTAACAATGTTCAAATCACAGCTGAAACTTAGAGACTGTAAACCAGAATAATAAATACATTTCATTAAAATTCGTGTAACCTTTTGCATATCAACCTAATTGGCTAAACTAACAAAGACTAACACAGTAACGAGAGGTAGAAGTACAATTCAGGCAATTACATTTTCGAGGTCCATACATTTTAGCTTGCAACTATTCTAGATTCTGCTCATACATTCCATCAAAACTTTATCTAGCAAACATCACTAAAGAAGCTAAGGTGAGTGGTTTAACGTATGATTTGACAAGTGAAAACAATAGCAAAAACATAATTGAGAAAACAGTTCCAAGCAGATCTAGCTATGAGATTTCCATCAAACAGGGGTCACTAAGGATTTGGACAAGGCAGTACACATCTGACGCACTTCATCTACTAATTAATTATATTAAAAACAAACAAACTACTTGCTTAGCTTATCAATCAAAGAGGAAGGATGGTGGCTTACCCGCCCATTGTGGAATCCACGATTAGTTTGGCACAAGAAAGGAGGTCTAAGCAGTGCTCTGTTACCCTCATAAATTGCTTTACCTATCGAATACTTGCTAACCACTTGCTTCAACATTATATCTGCACACCAACCTGCATAAACGACATCAAGTGGAGTTCAGACACACAAAAACTAGCTTCTGTCACAAACTCATGATTTCATCTCCTCGTGTTCAGAACAAGCTTCACTAATAACATCCTAACCTACTGAAGAGTAACAGAAAACTAAACAAACTTGACTTCTCTCAATAACAATCCAAAGACATAAAAATCCATTTACGAAGAGCTTTTCATTTCTAATTTCCAGCAATGTAAATGCAAAGGATGAACAATCATACGATCAAACCCATGAGATAATCATAACATTTCTACTGATAAATATAGAAATTCAACTCATTTGCAATGTTAATGACGTGCACACAGTATCTTGAAAGCTCAATTTGGAGAAGAAGATATACAACAACGCGCATAGTATCTGGAAGCTCAATTTAGAGAAGATGATATACAGTGACTACACAGAAAACAACTATAATCGATCAATTACCAACTTAACGTAATAGATAAGCTTAACCTAAGAAGAAGTCACTAACCGGCGACCTGAAAGTCGATGGAGAGTGCACGACGGTTTTGATTTTGCAGAGGAGAGACACTCGGAGGTGAGAAGTCGCAACGAAACCTAAAAAAAATCTGGTTCTCTTTGCTTTTAATTAGAACCCGAACCGAATCAGCTAGTTAAACCGGTTTATTCCGGTTTATGCTGAATTTAAAATGGACAATGCACGACGGTTTTGAAATTGCAGAGAAGACACTCACTTAAGTACGGGACAGAGGAGATAAATAAGTTTACATTGGGGATGCATTGGGGTTTAGTCGTGTGATTAGACATTTTTATTTCGATATGTTTCTTGTTTTGATTTTAGGAATTAAAGCATTATTTGTGGGGACTAAAGCTTGTATTTACAGTTCCTAATACAAGATCTAGTTTGTAACACGACATTTAATACTTGTGACATATTGATATTTTGTCAAAGGCAATTTATATAGTATCAAGTATCCTAGCAACTCCAATTTTTTTTTCTCCAACCCAAGTAAATAACGAGTGACTATAACATGCGAAAACAGAAGAAGATGGAATCTATACGCTACTGGTTAGCTCAAATCGTAGGAGCTCCCACCGGATTAATATTTCTGCAACGGACATAGCTCAAAAACTGGCCAGGAAGTTCTTCTAGAAGTGCCTGCACCACGGAAACTTGTCCACCTGCACCAACCAAACTCATTTCAACACCAACATATAAATCATTACATACGAATAATTGTAATTTACTCACTGTGGACTTCTTTCATTGGCACAAACTGAACAATGTCCCTTGTAGCTACCCGACCAGTAGAACTCTCTAACCGGCGACCTTTGTCAGCATCAAGAAACTAAAACAACAAATATAACAACGCCAAGTTATATTTAACTAGAACAGAACAAAGATAAAGTTTTAACTAAACAAAACAACAAATCTACCTCCATTTGTGTGAAGCCTGTGTTTCCCAGAACGTTCAAAAGGCACGACCTGAGCCTCCTGCAGCATTCTATGCCAAAGCTCTTTAACATGGTGACGAGACTTCTTCTGAAACCAAGCTTCAATCTCCGAGTAGAGCACATTTTGATTTTGTTCCCAACTCTTTCTCAACATCTCCAAACTATCAATCTTCTTCTCTTCCAAAGCTTTTACCAAACTCCCAACTCTTTCTAAACCCCAAGCTTCTCTTTCCAACAACGTTTCAGGTTTCCCAGCCATCAACGGCCTAACGCTTTTCAAACAAGGCAACACCTCTCCTTGAAGCAATGCACAACCGAAAACTGCTGCTCGGTCTCTATCATCTCTTACTTCCTCACTGTGAGCCGGAAGCTCCCAAAGATGAGGGCCGAAACTAGGAACGACCCAGCAGAAAACTTTATCCAGCTCCCTCGAGTAATAAGGTTTTGGGTCCTTGAGCGGCGTGGAGAATACACAGAGAGACTTTGCGTGTTTAACCAGCCACTCTGGCTTCACCCTTGTCGCCCTTTGCATGTAAGGTTTGTTGGATTCCAGGAGGTCACTGTAGACTAATAACTCTGGGGCAGAGTTTATGAGAGAAGACCAGCGGTGCAAGAAAACAGGTACTTGAACAGCACACGCCTGGTACTCGGTGGATTTAGTCTTTCTGGCTACACGGTCTGCCCATCCCGCACATATGGCTTCTCCTAAGAGCTCTTCTTCCTTCTGTAAAAGTGGGGTTTTTGAAGATGCGGTGATTCTCCATGACTTCTCCACGTCTTGTATAGTCCCATGAGTCCATGAGAAAACGTTTTCAGCATCAGAGGACTTACAACAGCTGAAAACATGTCGCAGGAGCTGATCTTTGAGCTTAGACATCTCGTCCATCGTCTTCCAATGCAAACCGTTCGACTCGCAGAAGCCCAAGTCATTCTCCGCGACCTCAAAGGACTGCAACACGTAAGCTACGGTTAAAGCATCGCTGCTCGGGTTGGAAAATCTGTCACGAGTAGCTTTGATTTTATCTTTCCGATCTTTCCTCCGTAGTTTATCGTCCTCTTTGTCGGTTTTGCAAGCATCTTCAGACTCGTTTTTGCTCTCTCCTTCAAACTGCATTATTAAAGGGTTTTGTACACTCAAGGCAGCTACTGCTGCAACCGCATATCCAAGGACCAGATTTGCCCGGGAGTAGTTCTGTGCCTCTTTCAGCATTTGGATGACTGTGAGAAGCGTTCTTGAGTGACGTGGACTCATGGGATAGTCAGACATAGCCTTCCCTAATGGTGTTAACCTTCCGTTGCTGTCGACAGCCTCTAAAGCCTTTAAGCATATCTCTGCTTGTCTAATGGATGATTGCTTAGGCGGAGTTGGAAACGGGAAATTTTCAACCTGTAACCAATAGAAAAAAGCAAAAAAGATTAGTCAGGTCAGGCTTAAGAAACGTTCATTGAGAGTGGTGTGGCTACAGGCGCCTTACCTTTTGAATGTTCATAGATTTCAACTGAAGAACGACTCCCTCAACAGGAACTTGGGTGATTTCAGGAGGAGAAGATTCCTTAAATGTGTTGCTAAATACCGTAGATGAATAGAGACGATAACAGTGACCAGGTCCGGTTCGTCCAGCTCTTCCTGCTCGTTGGCTAGCTGAAGCTTGACTAATCCAATCTACTTCATACTTTTCCACACCAGTCTCTATATCGTAAATCTTCGCTTTGGACCGACCAGTATCAACCACATACTTTATCCCCGGAATAGTCAGAGAAGTTTCCGCTACATTAGTTGCCACAACCACAAGTCTTTCTCCTTCCTCAACTTCCTCAAACACTCGGAGCTGTGCAGCTGAAGATAGCATCGCATACAGTGGAAGAACACGTAACTTTCCTGGGGTAAACGGCTTCTTCTCCAGCTCAGCTTCTTGAACCTCCTCTGCTTCAGTAGACTTTGTTATCTCCATAGATTCAGATCCTTTTTTGTCTGCCAAAGCTTTAAACGCTGCACGAAGAGCATCAAACTTCCCATTTTCTACAAGTGAATTCGTAAGGTTGTCGTCATCAACTGTTTCCCAGTCGCTTTCATCATCAGAGTCATACATGTCATCTTCATCAAAATCGTCATATTTTGCATCACCAGTTTCATAAGGATCTTCTCCATAAGAGTTAAACCTGTAATTTTCAGTGTTTGAGCCATCATCAAATGCTTCAGCAATCTCCTTCATGTCAACACCACCAAACGAACCATCCTCCAGGCTCTTCTTCTCAGAAGCATCTATTCTAACAAGTTCCTTTGACGACTTACGTAATTGCCCGCATAAATTATCAACTTCCCTTTGTCCCGTCACAAAAACAAGTATTCCTCCTTGTGGCAACTTCTTGTGAATCGACATAACTTTCTTATAAGCTTCATTGATATAATCACGCATCTTAGTGTTCTTGGAGAAATGTATAGTCACCGGGTACTGTCTCGTGGGAACCTCTATTACCGGAGGTGGCTTAGGGAACAACCTTTTCCCTGAAACAAAATCTTCCACTCGCAAAGTTGCACTCATCAATATAAGTTTAAGCGGCGTGATGATTCCGTTTTCTGAATTTATTGTGCCTCCAGATTGTAGAATCTTCTCTTGTTCCTTGTAGTATTCCTGTCGGATTTTGATGACTCGAGTGAGCAGCCCAATTAGAATGTCTGTGTTCAAGCTTCTTTCATGAGCTTCATCAAGAATTATCACAGAGTAACGCCTCAATAAGAAATCATTCTGCAACAGAAGAAACTTATACAATCAAACTAACCATAATTGAGATGAAAAAAAAACTACAAAACAAACCATGGTTACCTGAATTTCACGAAGTAAAATCCCATCGGTCATAAACTTGATGGCTGCGTTCTCGCCAATCTTTTTGTCGTACCTGACCTGAAACCCGACTTCTTGACCGAGACGAACACCAAGCTCATGCGCCACTCTCTTGGCAGTGGCAAGGACAGCCACACGACGTGGTTGTGTGATACCAATAACCCCACTTCGAGAGCTGAATTGCTTTGAACCAAAACCAGCTTCATAAAGGAACTGAAAGATTCAGAAGAAACCGGATTAGATTAGCATTGAGACCAAAACTCAGCAATGAGCAAAACCATTATAACTGCAACAAACTGACCTGAGGAACTTGAGTGGTTTTACCACAACCGGTCTTTCCTGAAATAATAACGGTGGGGTGATAATTAATAGCCTCCATGATCTCCTGCTCCATCATTATAATAGGAAGATCCTTCCTGGACCGTTCAACTTCAGCTGGTCTTGAAACATGAACTACAAACGCAGGTCCTTGAACAGTTACATCTTCACTCTCATCCTGTTTTCATGATCAAATCCCATTAAAACCAATCAAACAAAACACAAATCCGAATTTCAAATTTTGACAAACCATTCTCCGAAAGCCTTCTTCGTCATCATCATCATCACGACCAGCTTTCAGTAGATTCATATCCACTACAGGTTCATCTTCTTCACAGACTTCTTCAGCAGGAATCGTCACTTTAGAATCAAGCTCATTTGCATTAACAAATGGCTCAGAATCAGTGTGAAGACTCGGGATATCAACATTTTCAGTAGGTTCCGGTGTGGTAGGCTCGTCCATGTAAGAATCATTGTCCAGGACTGGTTCATCAGAATGAATAGACACAACACCAGCTTTAGAGAGTTGCATTGGTCTCCTACGTTTCTCCAGCTTAGTATCAGACTGAAACACAAAAGGAGAATCAGAAGACCATTTAACTCATTTAAGATTAGAGGAAATTGCAGGTTGCTTACTCTTCCAATAGCTTTTGAAGATTGTAAAAGGGAAGACACATCTTCAGATATTTTGTACTTGCTGCAGAAACACAGAAAGTAAATAAAAGATGATAGAATTTGGGAAGTGAAGAGAAGTGCAATTATACATACTCTAACAACTCAGCGGTTTTGGCAGAGAGGAGCTCTTTCTCCTTCTCTTCCTCCAACCTCTTCAGCTTCCGTTTCTGGGATTTGCTCAAAGTTGTCTTTTTTAACCTCAGATTATCAGACATCTGTGAATGAACAAGTTGCAGGTTTTAGTTAGGATTGAAACTTGCAAACATCTTATTATTACAGAACCCAATGGTTTAATTAGGGTTTTTGTTAAAACCTTATTGGGTCCATTGTTCTTTTTCTTCCTTGGAGGCATTATGTCTAAATTGCTATCGTCTCCTTTCATACTTGCTGATAAACTGAAAGAAGAAAACAAATCAGTTATTAAAAGTTAAACCAGGTAAATTGACATGGATAATGATTCACCATTACACACGTTTGAAGCCAAAACACCATAACAAACTAAAAAAAATCAACTTTTTCATAGTTTTTTTCTGCAAAGAAACAGTAATAAATCAGTTATTAAAGGTTAAACCAGTGCAATTGACATGGATTTAAGGCATAATCGAGTTCTCATCCCATTTTTTTTTTAAGAACAAAACTTTAAAGAGTAACTAAGGAAACTTAGCTTCTCTCAAAGTCTCAATAACAGTTCAAAGGTTACAAGATTTATGTCGTTTCTAGTTTCCAGCAAGATATCAAATTTACAGCTACTAATGTAAAAATGCAAATAATGAAGCAATCATATGGCATAATCGTAACAGCTCTACAAGAAGAATATTGAAATTCAACTCATCTGCAATGTGAACGCAATGCACACAGTATCTAAAGCTCAAATTTGGAGAAGATGATATACAACAATAACGCACACAAAACAACTATAATCGATGAATTACCAACTGAATTCAATAGATGAAATTAATCTAAGAAGAAGTCACGAACCGGCGACCTGAAAATCGATGGACAGCGGTTTGATTCTGCAGACGAGACGCTCAGAGAAGTCGCAACGAAACCTAAAAAGAAACTGGCTCTCTCTGCTTTTATACGTGGTTTAGTACATTAATTAGAACCCGAACCGAATCAGCTAATTAAACCGGATTGTTCTCGGTTTACCGTTGAATTTAAAATGGACAATGCACGACGGTTTGATTTTTGCAGAGAACACACACTCACATAATTAGGACGAAGAGAAGTGAACTGAACCGAAAAAATATGTGGCTTTGACTGGAATCAAAAGAACACTCACACACTCATATTTGCTTTTTTACCATATTGTTCCTCCCCGGATTTGATAAGGAATGGTTTTGTTCTTTGATTCCTTAAATCAAAAGGAATGAGAAGGAATATTAAAGAAAAATTATTACTTATAAATGGTGTCAAATTTAAGGAATGGAGAGGAATTAACTATTATAATTCCTTATAAATGGTGTCAAATTTAAGAATTAAAGAGGAATTAACTATTCCCACACATTTCTTTGGTCACTAGTTAAAGCCAGTGTGTTTTTCTGGTTTTATACCTGGTTAAGTATATTAATTAGAACCCGGACCGAATCAGCTAATTAAACCGGATTCTTCTCGGTTTATGCTGCACTAAGCGACGGTGTTTAATTTTCAGTGTTTCAGAACCTTTCATTCACTTCACGACTCTCATCACTGCCCTCGCTCACCGTCGCCGGCGATTCCATCGCCGTCACCATTGCTTTCTTCTTCTCCTCCATATCCGGTTAATATCTGGTTTCTATCTATTCATTTGTACACAATCTTCACGTAGATTTTGCTCTTAATTCTCAACTTCGTCTGCAATTTTCGAACTTCGTTTACTGAAGATTCTGTTCGGTCTAGGGTTTCTCTGTCAACGTTAGTTGTTTGATTCTTGGAGCTTGAGCACGAAAAAGGTGTTAACTTTCACTCTCTCTTGTTTAGAGTTTCACATTTAGGATAAGACTCCACATTGCATCAACGAAAATTTTATACGCACTAAGTTTTAATTTTATATCTGCTGTTCAGATTAGGATGTATCCGAACCCATAAGACTTCACATTGCATCAATCAGACTTAATACTAAGCCAAGTTAATACAACTCAAAAGTTTCAACCTCTGCATCTCTATGATTGAGCTATTCACTTTGTTTCCAACACATGTTCTTGTGTCTTTTGGAGTTTTAGGGTTTCAGTAGTAGACAAATGCCGCCGAGAAAGAAGCCAAAGTCATCAGCTTTGAAACCAAACAAACAATCTTCAGCAAATCAGTCTTCACAGCCTTCCAGTGTTGGCATCCAGCAGTTGTTTCAAAGACATATTCAGAACTCTCAATCAACTTCCAACACTCTTGCCTCTAACCCCGTGGTTTCAACGCCTCAAAATCCTCTAAGCACTGTTGATGAGAAGCCTGACGAGTCCAAAGATGTGGATCAGCAAGAGCAACTCACGGAGGCGTCTCCTGAGGTCTCCAGAAACGCTAAGCGCTTCAAATTTTCTCCTGGAATGGTGGTTTTTCTTTTTTCTTATATCTTGTTTGATTGCTGGTTGTGTGATTCCTTAGTGGCTGTGTGATTCTTATTTGTTTCTTTTTATCTTGGTAGCTGATAAAGCAAAGTCAAGATGATGGTGGCGAAGAGATTACTTGGAAAATATCTCCTATAGATCAAAGACTTCGCGCAGCTGCTAAGCAGGTTCCTAAGATGATGGACTTGACTGAAAATTCTGTGGGGGTTAAATCTTCCACCCTTCGCCCATGCTCTCTGGACAAGGCATGTTTTCTTCTTTACTTTTGTCTGTTGTTGACAGAAAATTCGATAGCTGTTTCACTTACCTTCTTACTATTGAAAATGACAGCAGGTAGTGCAGAAACAATGTCCTACATCAGATATAACTTCCAAGGTGGAGCAGTGGTTATCTTCTCCCTCAAAGAAAGCTTTCAAAAGACCAGCAAATAGGGTTACGGAAAGGGTGAATCCTTCCCTAGATGCGGAGTTTGAGACTGCTAACACTTCTAGTAGTGGAAACAGTCCGTTCAAGACCCCACCGTCGCTTTCTTGCTCACACAACAAGGTGAATTTCTTTTGTGATAAACAGATGAATGATCACATTTTGTCTGCTTTCTAACTTTGCTCTTGTTTATATTAGCTTCCTTGTACTGTAACATGCAGTGCAGCTTGTGGGTCCACGGGCACTGGACAACATAAAAAGGTAAGAATTGAGAATTGATGCAGTCTTTAGATGTTGCCGGCCCAATACACTGTTTAATTGGTGCTATATGTTTCATCATTTCCACCTTTGGTTGATCAAGACTAGATGCATTATATTGTTTTATACAGCATGTCAATGTATTATTTCTACATGGTACCTCTTTTAGGCCTTGCTTGAACTTCTAGATCAAGTGGAGGACGTCATCTCAGTTGATGACAAGACAGCTGATGATGTGGGGACTGTGGTGCCTCAAATTCGACTTGAAGATGATAAAATCTGTTCCGTTGGTGTCTGCAACTCCGTAGAAGGAGGGGAAATTGCTCTACTAAAAAGGGATAATTCTGTAAATCCAGATAGCTATTTCCTTGTATTGGAGGTACAGTTAGCCTTGATACTTTGGTTACCTATGTGGGTTTTATGTGAAAGGTACTCATTGTCCCGAGTTGTACTTCAGGTATCCGAGAAACGTGGCTTGGCTGGCTCATCTAGAGTTCAGTGTCCTTATAAGGTTTGCATTTACTTGAGGTTTCTTTCTTATACATGCTTATTTTTGCTGACCAAATTTATCTCAGGTTCTTCGCCTGCTAGATGAGTACACTGGAAAAGAATGCGCTTTGTATCTCTGGGATGAATGGTACTTTTCTTTCAGATTAAATTTGGGGAGATTTATGCTTTTCAGATCAATTGCTTCAAAAATATTAAGTGGTCTTTGATCCTTCATTTTTAGATTCTAATTGTGGGATGGTAACATGCTACACTTATTATCTTTATTTCTCTTGGCGTATGAGAGAACAACTAAAAATCATCTTTTCAGTTTCCAGTTGCTGAAACTTGGTTAGCTAGACTATGTTGCTTCCTGAATACTTGACGCTTATTGTTCCCAGGTTTTACAGCACTGTATCACCAGGAGATACAATCAACGTTATCGGTGATTTTGACGGGGAGGGCAAGTGTGATGTGGACCATCAAAATAATTTCTTAATTGTTCATCCTGATACCCTTGTTGCTGGAACGAAGGTAAATTTTCCTCTTTCCTCTGACCAATCTTCTATGCACATAATTCTTTTTCGGCCTTTGTTGGGAATAACTGTCCTGTCTTTCAGGTTGCAGCAAGTTTTGGTTGCCCAAGGAGAACCGTGCTAGATGAGAGGCTAAAATCCAATGAACACGCTACAGCAGCCTTGCTTGGAACCTTGCTACACCAAGTTTTTCAGGTTTACTCCTGTATGCAATCTTTGATGAAATTATGTTGGACAATGATTATTTTGTTTTGTATGTTTTATCTCTTGCATTTGTAGTGCATTGATTTGTACTGTACATTTCCTCTTTTACAGGCAGGTCTAACGCAAGAGTCTCCATCTGAAGATGGTTTGCATGAATATGCGAGCATAGTGATTAAGAATAATATTGAGAGCTTATATGCATGTGGAGGTTGGTTACTACATTACATGTTCCTACCATGCATTTATATAGCTAGAATACCTCTTATTTATATATCATAATTTTGAGTTAGTATAGCTAGGACATCTCTAAGTAGATTGGAGTTTGAAATTAATATGGCTATAATATTTCTTTAATCATTTTGGAATCAATGTGCTTTGAAGATCCAATGAAATGCACTTTATTATTTTCTTATCCGGTCATATGTTCTCTACAGTGCATGAGCGAGACGTGAAAGTAACCTTACATGAAGCTATCCCAAAAATGTTGAATTGGATTCTTCATTTCAGAGATTCGAAGGTGCACCAATATTTTCCTAATGATGATTCTTTCTTGAATTTCTCATGAATGTTATATTACTGTTTCCTTAGATGAACATAAAAATGGTTACTCTTTTGCCTGGTTGCCCTTCAGATATTTTTAGAGTTATCTCGCTTAGGCTCACATATTTTTATTGTGTTATGCTCTTATGATGTGCTGGACTTTTTTCCTCGTGCATGAGCAAGTATGATAATCACATATTTTGCTACTTTTTATGCGACATATATCTAATAACAACTAAATAACCAGGCTCGTAGTCACAGTCACCTTTATATTTATTTAGTGTTTGAGTGGCATCTAATGAAACCTTTGAGGTTGTTTTTGCGTGCTTTTCTCTCTCTTATTTCCTCCCCATCAAATTCATGTTTTCTAATAACTCTTAGGGCCGAAACATCTTTAACTCGTGGCATGGTCATTATTAACAGGACTCAACTGTATCAAATGTTGATTTTGGGTCTACTAATGGGAAGCGAATGGTCAAGATATCAGAGGTGAAGATCTCTTCCTACTCTCCCTCCCTGTCTTTTTTCTTAGGATATCATATCTTTCAGGTGAAGAATAGAAGCAATTTGTTGGTGCAGATGTTCATTACTCTGTTGTTCCAAGCGGATACATCTAATTTCCATAACAACCGATGCTTATTCGAAGCACTCTCCTCTTATCAGACTTTTGTTATGTATATAAAAAAATAATATTACCTCAGGTAATTGACATTGAGGAGATGTCTTGGGCCCCTAAATATGGTCTGAAAGGAATGGTTGATGCTTCAGTCAGAGTGATAGTTGGATCTGACATGAACACAGCGAATGAGAAAATAATGCCTCTTGAGTTCAAATCTGGAAAGGCTCCTAATGGGCAGGTTTGTATGTAAATCTATGTAGATATTCGGTTGAAATTTATAAGTTAGAATAGCTTTTTAACAGCGAGGTGCTTGGTCTTTATTGTGTTATGCAGGCATCAATGGAACATTGTGCACAGGTGATCTTGTACACGCTCCTTATGTCTGAGAGGTGCTTTATGTGCTGCTTTCTTTCTTTCTTTCTTTCATTTGCTGGAAAACAGACATCAGTTAATAGTTTATTGTTTCCATCTCACATTTCCAATTTTCAGGTACCTAAAGCATATTGACAATGGCCTTCTGTATTATCTAAAGTCAGATCAGACACAGGTAAGTCAAACTTTTGTGTGCCTTTCGTTGGTTTCAAGATATTGGAAGTGGCTAAGCTGTCATTGCTTCTGTAAAGGGAATTTCTGTTCAAAGATCAGATTTGGTGGGTCTGATTATCCGTCGTAATGAACTTGCAAATGACATCCTCGTGGCATCAACAACCCAACAACTGCCACCAATGTTACGGGTATGCTTTGTCCAGTGATGAATTTTTTTTCAAGGGAATATTTACCAGATAACAGTATGGTTTTATTATTTTGATGCTAGAATCCAAATATGTGTCGTAGCTGTCGCCATCTGGATGCCTGCACGATTTATCATAAGGTATTTTCTTGTTTTTATGATGAATAATGCTCGAAAAATATGGCTTAAAGCTTCTAAAACATCATATCTGCTTGAACAGGCAGATGGTGGAAACACGGAGAGTAGCGGACTTGCTGATCTCTTTGACGCACATGTATCTCATCTTTCAACTTTGCATTTCAAATTCATACGACATTGGAACAGGCTGATTGACTTGGAAGCTAGAGAGATGAAGGTCAGTTTAATAGCACCTATTTTTACTAGAGTACAAACTCAGCGTTCTTTTCTGATTTGGAGACCTTATATCAAAGTTTGTTTACAGCTTCCAAGGAAAGACATTGCACATCCGCATGGTTCAAAGGGCGGCGACTCAGCTAGTTATCTTTCTTCTATGGTTCTTGACATGAAATATGGGTTTCAGCATCATAGCTCTCATAAAGATACCAGATTCATTTATCGTTTTGTACGACAAAACTCATCTGAATCTAGAGAAAGAGTACCCAACGAAGATACTAGGACGAGAACCCCTGCAGCTGATGACTTGGATTGTAAACTTAAAACAGGAGACCGCGTGGTATATTAATTTTTTTGATTGTTTTCTTTGGTCATGGCTAATCTGAACCGATCAAGTTAGATACATTCGAAAATATACATCCAATTTTTCTCTAACATTTTCTTGCTCACCAGCATGTTTTTCTGAAAGTCTCTGATATGAAAACTTGTGATCACTATTTAAAATTGACAAATGGTTGCATTTGAAGTATTGTGCTCATTGGCTATTTCTTCTTTATGAAAATTCCAACTTCCACTCTTAGTTTATGCTGTTTCCCTTTTTTTGTTTATAAATTTCATATCCAGATTCTTCGCACAGAAGTCAGCCACCTAACCGTTGCAAATGGAATTATAGCAGAGATTAGTCGCACTCATATATCAGTAAGTAAATTCATCATTCCTCTATGTTTTCTTTTAACAGTTTGTGGTTTTAGCATGGTTTGTCTAGTACTACAATTGATCTTATTCTTTCTCAGACTGTCAGACATATCTAAAGAGTCCTGGATTTTCCTTTTTCTATGTTAATCATTAGGTTTCTTTATCCAAGCGATTACGCCTTCCTTGGAGCGAACCTTCTTCTGAGGTGTCCAATCTCTCGAATGAGTTATGGCGAATTTACAAGGATGAATACATGTCATCATTTGCGGTTATGAGGTGCTATTTTCATTTATTTTCTCACACTTATTAATCCTACCTACATGGGCTGTCACGATATTGATTCGTTATCTTCAAATTTTTCAAGGTTCAATCTCATGCAGCTTTTCATACAAAGCATACATACCATTGGCATCAGGAAAATGATTGTAGATCTTGAGGTGATTCATCTTTTTCAGTTTTCCGGTTGTCACGATGATGTTATTTGTTTCTTATATTCTTCTTCACATGCTTGATTTTCTTCTTTCTTCCATGTCTTTGTAGCCTCCTAGATTTGACAATGGATCTATACTGAGCCAGGATCCAGCAGTATCATATATTTGGTCAGAAAAGAGCTTAAATAATGATCAGCGTCAAGCTATACTAAAGGTCATTGCGTGCTTATGTTTGATTGTTCTCCTGTTTAAAGCTATTCTCAACGCTTTTCTGAACGACACTTTTTCTGTAAAAAAAACTCAGAAAGGACTTTCTTTCTTTTTTAAATTTTCAGATACTCACTGCAAAGGATTACGCGTTGATCTTAGGAATGCCTGGAACCGGAAAAACCTCCACAATGGTCCATGCTGTGAAAGCTTTGTTGATCAGAGGCTCATCTATTCTGCTAGCATCTTACACAAACTCTGCAGTTGATAATCTACTTATCAAACTAAAAGCACAGGTCCTTTATCCTCTATCCAACCTTTTAATATTTTTTTCTGCTTCAAATCCATACTTCTAGACATATAGGAATACTTTAATACATATGACATACTATTTTGACTACATATGCAGGGAATTGAGTTTTTACGTATTGGAAGAGACGAGGCTGTACACGAAGAAGTTCGAGAAAGTTGCTTTTCGGGTATAAAAATATTATTCCAACTACTATAACTTCGAAGTCTTATAGATATAGTTTGGACTTATCTTTGTGGCAGCTATGGATATGTGCAGTGTCGACGACATCAAAACAAAGTTGGACCAGGTCAAAGTTGTGGCCTCTACTTGTCTGGGAATCAATAGTCCATACCTTGTGAATAGGCGATTTGACGTATGCATTATTGATGAAGCCGGCCAGATTGCCCTCCCTGTACGACCTCTCTTTCCTAACCAATAGTTTGAACAGATTTTTCAAATGGAAAGAAAGAGTGGAAATAATTGAGTTTGAACTGGAATATTATTTAAAGTGCATGGTTTCTCGTACTGACCAGGTATCAATAGGACCTTTACTGTTTGCCTCTACATTTGTACTTGTTGGTGACCACTATCAACTACCGCCACTAGTGCAGGTAAGCATTTACCATCTCTTTTGAAATACCTTTTTTTCCAGTAACTTCAGCATCTGTGTTTTGTTCGTATAATCAGAGTACAGAGGCTAGAGAAAATGGGATGGGGATAAGCTTGTTTCGTAGGTTATCAGAAGCTCATCCTCAGGCAATTTCAATGTTACAAAACCAGGTTAGCCTTATCCACTGGGATCGGCTTATGTTAGTATGCGTTGTTATTGGGCATATACTTAGTATTTTTAATGTGCAGTACCGAATGTGTCGAGGTATTATGGAACTATCAAATGCCTTGATATATGGAGACAGATTGTACTGTGGTTCCGCTGAAGTAGCTAATGCCACAC